TGCAGATGAGGATGAGGTTTGCAGTTAGAGCTGTGGTGACTGAGTGAGGGCTGGCGCTGGAGTCAATATTAAATTTGGGATTGGGATTATGTGGTGGGTTTGGTGTTAGGAGACAGGTTGAACAGAGCCGACGCTGGAGGTCTGGGTGAGGCTGGGATTGACTTTGAGGGGTGAGGTTAGGGTCGGGCTAGGACTGGGGTTGGGGCTGGCGGTCAGCCCTGGGCACACACACACACACACACACACACACACACACCTGTGCCCTGCCCGGGTTAGGTTTCTACCGAGGTTAGGGTACGGCTGGGAACTAGCATGAGAGGCACCAATGGGATCAAAGTAGGAATCCTCCCTCTTTTGGCCTGTGCCTCTGCTCCACACCCCCTGACATTTTCTTGCTGATTCACATCCAGTTGCCAGCTGGGCAGAGGGCACAGGGAAGGTTTGGGGTGGGAGTGGAAGCACAGCATCCCCAGCCATCCTGGGAGCCTCTGTGGCGGGGCCACGGCTGGCTGAGGTGCCTTCACGTGCAGCGCCCCCTCCCCTCACCATACCCACCTGTGGGCCTGCCCCACCTACTCCCTGGGCTGTCTGGTGGGGCACAGCTGGGGTGAGAAAGCCTGCATCCCACTCCCTCACCCTGAGGCCTTGGTCTGGGGTCTCCATCCCATCATTCAGCTAGAGGGACCCTTGGAGGAAGCTGGGTTAGGGCTGGGCTGGGCGGCCTAGGGGGAGGGAGCAGCTGGGGGAGGCTAAGCTGCAGAGGAATGCTGCTGCCCGCTAGGAGGTGCCTGGTATGACCACCCCCCTCCCATCCTGGGCAGGGAGGGCTCAGCCTTCTGCTGACTGGGTGAAGAGGGCGCCCACTGTGGGGGCAGGCAGCTGGAGAGAGAGGCCCTTTGGGCAGAAGGACAGCTGCTCCAGCAGAGTCCCTTATGTCTAGGATTTTATGGGTCTCTTTTATTCCTCTGAGTCTCCTCTGCCAGGTACCCCCATCCTGCCCTCCTCGCCCTGGGGCAGCCAAGCCCTGAACTTCCCCCCTGGCAGCCCTGGCCTGAGGCTAGAGTCCAGCGGACAGGAGTTCTGCCTTTAGAGGCTGCCATCCATTGGCTAGGCTTGGACCAGGGAGAGAGTCTGTCTGCCCCCATCCAGGTTCTCAGAAAACAGTCTAGCTTCCTTTACCCTCTGTCACCCTGTGAACCAGGAGATGCAATCTCCCCCAGGAAGCAGTGGCCCCTACATAGTGAGGGGTACTCATATCCTGCCTCCCTCGGCCCCACCACACTGGAATTCACAAATCCATATTCCAGAGTTGAGAGGTTCCACCCCAGGTCCTCCTGTCCGTCCACCCCCCAAGCAGCATTAGAAGTGCACCTATTGCTCAAGGTGCTGGCCCATCCCCAGACCTGGTGCACCACGTTTCCCATCCGTTATCTTGGCCAGTCCCACACCCAGTGAAGTAGGTATTATCATCCTCATTTTATAGGTGAAGAAACTAAGGCTCAGAGAAGTGACTGGCCCACGGTCACACGGCTAGTAAGTAGCAGACACTGTGCTCCTCCCCCTCACCATGCTGCTTCTGTTTGCACACCTTCAGTCCCAGGGAGCTCACCCCCTAACGAGGCAGCCAGCTCCACTTGCAGACAGCTTTGATGACAAGAAAGGTTTTCCCTTTCTTGAATTGAAGGAAGTTCTAGGCTTCTCATAAGCTCTAACTCCATCCTCAGGAGCTGCAGGCTCATTCCTCTCTCACACTCCAGCCCCTGAGAGATTTGGGGGCAGAGACCACTGCCCCCTGAGGCTGTGGTGCCTTGGGCTCACGTCCTTCAGTCCATAAATCAAATGACACAACCCCCACCCCAGGCTCTGCCTGCTGAGCTCCCCATCCCAGGGCCTCATTTTTCCCAGGGCAGACAATCACGATGGCCCCTCTGCTGTCTCCCCCAACCACCCCACCCCAGGCTGCTGAACGAGAGCGACAAGCGCCCCTTCATTGAGGAGGCCGAGCGTCTCCGGATGCAGCACAAGAAGGACCACCCAGACTACAAGTACCAGCCAAGGAGGCGGAAGAACGGGAAGGCAGCCCAGGGGGAGTCGGAGTGCCCGGGCGGGGAGGCCGAGCAGGGCGGTGCTGCTGCCATCCAGGCCCACTACAAGAGTGCCCACCTGGACCACCGGCACCCAGGAGAGGGCTCCCCAATGTCGGATGGGAACCCTGAGCACCCCTCAGGTGAGCATGGGGCCGGGAGCCTGGGTAGGGGGAGCCTGGGCAGTGGAGAAAGGCAAAGGCTGGATGGCTTGAGACCTGGGCTCTGGGAAGGGCTGACCAGTTGCCCCAGCTGGGATCCAGGGGCCCAGAGGGAGTTCAGTGGGGACTCAGGTGTCAGGGGAGGTGGCTGGGCACGATGGCTCTGGCCAAGGCTGACAGAAAGGGCCCTGCTGCTGGGTGAAGAGGCCAGTTAAGGAGGCCATGGAGGCTGGTGGAGGAGTTACACCAAGGAACACCAAGCGACAAGATTTTGAGAAACAGGAGATCAGATGGAGGAGAAATCTCACGGCATGTGATAATGAGTACCTGCCATGGAAGAGCCAGACACAGGGTATCCTGTTTCATTCTGATTAGTCATAATAACAGCTAGCACTGCAGGGAGGGTACAGTTCAAGTGCTAGAGCACATGCTTAGCACGCCCGAGGTCCTGGGTTCGATCCCCAGTAACTCCTCCAAACATAAATAAATGAATAAACCTAATTACCTTGCCCTCATAAAAGAAAAAAAAATAGCTAACATTAATTGAGCACCTACAGTGTGCCAGGAACTGTGCTAATTGCCTGATGTGTATTAATTCATTCAATCATTCTAAAGTTTGAAGAGGCAGCCACACTGCCTGGGCTCAGACCTGAGCTGTGTGGCAAATTACTCTCATTTTAGAGAGTAAACTCTACAGAAAACCGAGAGTCACTTGCCATACAGCTGAGGTCTCAGCCCAGGCAGTTTGGCTCCCAGGGCTTTGCTGGCACCACCACTGCCTCGCTGGTGTTCACGGTGTCCACAACACTGCACGTGGGTCAGGCCCATGGGAAGTCTCTGGGAGCAGAGCTCTGCCTTCGCTCCGAGACACGCTCCGAGTCCTCCTTTGTGCTAGACCCAGAAGCAGACACCAGGTGTACAAATGAGGAGCCATGGTCCCTGGCCTCTGGAGCCCACAGGTTAGAGGGATGAGCAGGGATGAAAACAAGCAAATTAAGTACAGGAAGAAACAAGCACCCATGAACCCCAGACCCAGAGCAGGCACGACCTCTAGGGAGGAGTCATCCATCTGCCCACCCAGTCAGATCTCCAGAAATATCCAGCTATGCCCCAGATGCTGGTCAAGGAGGGCTTCCAGGAGAAGGCCATATCTGAGCTGCTTGGTCTCTGCTTTACTGATAAGTTAAGTGATAAGAGGAGATAGAGGGTCTGCCCAGGGTCACACAGTGACAGAGCCAGGATTCAACCTCAAAGTCCAGACACTCTGGCCAGCCCAGGACACAGCACTGCCCCAGGTCTGATGGAGGAGACACAGGCCTGCCCGCAGGGAGTGCCCAGTTTCATAGACCATGAACATGTTCTCTCTCAGATGGGATCCCCAGTCCAGCCATCCCTCCCTCACACTCCTTCAGGGACACACACACCCCAGAAGACTCTGGACCATGTACAGAACCACCTCACAGCATAAGTGTGGGCCTGGGCTTTTTCTTCACCTTCAAAAGCTCAGCTACCCCTCCTCAGGGAGAACTCCCCCAGGTCAGGATGAGTGGCCACTTATCTCAGGGCTCCCCTGAACAGGCAGGGAGAAGGCAACTGGAGGAACAACGAGGCAGTGCAATGTGTGACAGGAGCTGGGAGTGTCGTTGGGGGCTGGGTCAGAGGGAAGGTTTCCTTGAATAAGGAGCACCTGAGGTGATCTTGGGAGGAGGGATGGGGTTGGATGCCACACATCGCTGTTCAGGGGTCGGAGTGGAGGAGGGACAAGCAAGCCAGCAAAATGATGAGGGTGGGAGAGGTCGGCAGAAGGAGCAGCCAGTAGAGGCCCAGTGTGCTTAAGAGAGAGCAGGCGAATCCAGACCTACGGCCAGACCCCATCGGGCTTAATAGCTAAGGAACAACGGGAGCAGGGAGGGAAGCCGACTTCAGCTGGTGTGAGGAAGACCTTTCCAATAGGAAAGGTTTTTCAAAACGAAGCAGGTCTCTCCAGGAGGTGGGTGACAGAGGAGAGTCCTATTCTGGGTAGGAGACAGGACCCATTCCTAAGGTTGGAGAATTTCATAAATAACTGGAGATCAACCCAAGATCATTATATAATTAAATGCCAACTTGGGCTGCTGAAACATGTAAAGTTCACAAGGTCATGCAGTGATGGGCCCTCAGCCTCCTGGAGGCATCCTGTCTGAAAGTGAACCATCAGAATCCGGAAGCCTCTGATCTGAGTTCCCGCTTTCTGTCTCTTTTCCCCCAGGCCAGAGCCATGGCCCACCCACCCCTCCGACTACCCCAAAGACAGAGCTGCAGTCGGGCAAGGCAGACCCCAAGCGGGATGGGCGCTCCATGGGGGAGGGCGGGAAGCCTCACATCGACTTCGGCAATGTGGACATCGGTGAGATCAGCCACGAGGTAATGTCCAACATGGAGACCTTTGATGTGGCTGAGTTGGACCAGTACCTGCCGCCCAATGGGCACCCAGGCCATGTGGGCAGCTACTCGGCAGCTGGCTACGGGTTGGGCAGTGCCCTGGCTGTGGCCAGTGGACACTCGGCCTGGATCTCCAAGCCTCCAGGTGTGGCTCTGCCCACGGTCTCGCCATCTGGTGTGGATGCCAAAGCCCAGGTGAAGACGGAGACTGCGGGGCCCCAGGGTCCCCCGCACTACACCGACCAGCCGTCCACCTCGCAGATCGCCTACACCTCCCTCAGTCTGCCCCACTACGGCTCTGCCTTCCCCTCCATCTCCCGCCCCCAGTTTGACTACTCTGACCATCAGCCCTCAGGACCCTATTATGGCCATTCGGGCCAGACCTCTGGCCTCTACTCGGCCTTCTCCTATATGGGGCCCTCGCAGCGGCCCCTCTACACGGCCATCTCTGACCCCAGCCCCTCAGGGCCCCAGTCCCACAGCCCCACACACTGGGAGCAGCCAGTATATACGACACTGTCCCGGCCTTAAAGGGGTTCCTGTCACCACCACCCCCACCCTGCCCCTTCCCCCAGCCCTTGCACCCTTTTCCTCACCCATCTCAGGCCCGGTGGCGGCTGTGGAGGAGGCTGCAGAGGCTGACAGCTGGGGGAAGGCCTTCTGTCTGGCTCACTGCCTTTGATGACCCCACCCCATCCAGTCCGGGCTCCAGCCCAGGCACAGCCCTGGGCAACTTGGCTGGGCAGAGGAGAAGGAGGTTGATTGTTGCCCCTAGACTGAAAAATGAGGGGCTGCACCTTCCCCCCAGGAATGACCCTCGGCCCCAGGATCTGAGAAGGCCCTGCTCATCCTCCTCTGGAAGGAGGGGAAGCCTCGAGGGTGGGATGGGAATCGGAGGCCTTGCCACTCTGATGCCCGTGTTTCCTCTTTCGTGGGGAATGAGGGGTCTGACATAATCCGTGCCTCCTGTGTCGTGTGCCCAAGCCAACCAGAGACCTGCATCAGGGCCTGGAGCAGGCTATGTCTGCCCCTTGGGGGCTAAGGACAGCTTTGAACAGCCTTGATGGAGTAGGGGTGGGGTGGGGGCTCAGAGGGCCATCTCCTCATCCCTTGAGTGCCCCTTCCCCTCCTAAACACAGGAAGGAATTGGCACAGAGGCCCCCCAGATCCAATTCTGTGCCAATAACCTCATTGTCTAATGGAGAAAGAGGGCCCAGGTCTTCCTTCACTGCAACTTCGCAGACTTTGAGGCACATCCCAGGAGGCAAGGAGGCAGGGGCTCCGGGAAAGGATTCGGAGACAATTCAGACCCTTCCTCCCGGGCCCTTGCCAACTCCCTCTTCCCTCCAGGCTCTGTGGCCCCTACTCTGTCAGCCCCAACTCCTTGGGCTTCCTCGAGAGTTACAGCTGCCCAGGCCCAAGCCCTCGGCTCCAGGGAGACCCAGGTTGCTGGCAGCAGGCTGAAGACACTGAACTCCTGACGTGTACATTCTGCCCTGGCCTTTTGCCCTTTGCCTCCCAGTGGTATTTGAATAAAGTATGTAGCTCTGTTCTGCCCCTATTTTCCTATTCTGCAGCCCCCGTGGTCCACAAGTAACTCATTACTGCCTCCCTCTTATTTATCTCAGTAGCTCCCTCTCCCCCTCCCCTCTCCTAGGTACTCCAGCCCCTATTAACTCTGCATTAAGCATTCCACATAATAAAATTAAAGGTTCCGGTTACCTGCTTGGTGGGCCTGACCTGGCCTGTCTCTTGGTCTCTTATCCCTGTACCTGTGCTTCTTCAAACACTTTCTGAAAGTAGCTAGCGGTTGAATGCAAAGGACACATAATCCAAAGGTCTCCTCTCTCCCAGTGCAATGGGTTAGGACAACTGGCATCACAGTGGGGTCAGTGTGTGCTCAGGACTGAGGCCTTGGGTGGGAGCCCTGGCCGCAGCCCAGCTGTGCCCACACTGCAGGTGGGCCACTTGCTGGCTCAGCTGGAACTCACCAGAGTGCCTTCCAAGCAGCCCCTTTGCTCACTCTGCAGAGAGAGGGCCTTGCCAAGAATTCAAGGAACAGGTATTTGAAAGAAAGGTGGATCAGGCTTGCTGTCTTCCCATCTTGCCATTAGGATGGAGGATGGGCCTCCTCTCACTGTACCTTCCTCTTGCCAGCTCCCCCAACACACACACACACACACCCAGTGCAGGATCCAGGCAAGTCCTCATAGCAGCTGCCCACGTCTGAGTGTAAAGCAGGATGGCAGACATGCCATCTAATCCTTCAGGGCTCCCTTCCCAAAAGCTCTTTCCTCAGCAGTATTCCAACCTGCACTCAGGGGCTAGGAGCTCCTCCACCTCAGGGACAGGGGAAATGTCTTCCCCCGCGCTCCACTGATGGACAGCTCTGGTGGTTGGAAGTCCTTCCTTATACCCAGCTCATAGTAACTAATAGCTACCGTGCACTGAGCACTCCCCGGCTGAGTGCTTTGTACCGTTCAGGTCTATGAGGGAGTGGGTCCAGTCATTATCCCCATTTTCCAGATGGAGAACTGACACTTTGAGAGGTTGGTGCCAAGAAGTGCTAGTGACAGAATATGAAGCCAGCTGACTCCAAGGCTTGCGCTCTTAACCACCATCTCTTCCACCTGCCCTCCTTCCGCTTGTCACCTGGAGCGATGCTTATTTCACCGCTCCAGACCAGCATCCCCAGCTCTGTATCTGTTTCTTCTGCCTGTGGGCTCCAGCCCCTCACCTCCTAGTTAGGCCCTCGGGTGGGACAGGGAGCACCAAGAACTAGCCCAGTCCCCCAGGGAGGCCAAACTGCCAACTGGAGGCTGTGGCATGCAAGCTCTTCAGGCCACCTGGCCAAAACCGTGGCTGCCACAAAGCAGAACCCCTGCTCTTGTGCATAAAACCTGCGGCCAAGTCAGATCACCCCCGAACTGTATATTAGCTGTTTTCTGGTGTTTTGTTGATTTTGTTGTGTTGGAGATAAATGCAGGATTTTATACTGATCTTTAACAGATTTCATCTTGTTTGATTTGACCATTTCGTCACTTATCTTAAATCCTTTGGAATTTTCTGAATCCAACCTATAACTCTCCTTCAGAGTTTTACGTCTCTGAAACTTGGATATCCTCATTCAGGTCACTAATAAAAAAGGTTGGGAAGAAGAGGGACAGGCCCTGTGTGCGCCACTAAATACCCCTCCATCATCAGTTCTGTTACCTGTACTCTCAGGGAAAGAGTGTCCAATCACTTCTCAGTCTATCTAATTATATCACCTTAAAGTACATGCTTCTCCATCCTGGCCACAGAAAAGACTGTCTGATGTCTTGTTAAAGTCAAGGTTCACTCTGTCTGTGGCAATCCCCCAACCTACCAGATCAATAACCATTGAAAAAAGAGTATTTGGTTCACTTTCAGCAGCGTTCTTAGAAACCCTATCATTATACAAGTGTTTTCAAACATGCAGTAGCCTATTCTAGAACTTTGTTAGGGACAAATAAGTACTAACCTTATGTGCTCATAATTTTTACAACCCACCCTTTCCTGCTAGTGAAAAGCAGGACATTAGTCCATGTCTGGTCTGCTGTCACCTCCGGTCTGCCCCTGTGCTCAGTGGGACTGTGGACATGGAGCTGGCGGGGCGAGTGGGAAGGGCTACATTGAGAAGATGAAACTACCACCTCCAGGATGCTGCACCTCACGAAGATCGGCTGGGAAGTCACTGGGGACGCGGGAGGCGGGGAAGTGGCCCAAAAGAACAAATAACCCTGGAGAAGTCGGAAGACCTGGCTTGTGCTCATGCCTTAGACCTATGCTTCCAATGTGCTCAGGCCTCAGTAAAGTAGGGGCTCTGAGTGTAAACAGAGAAGGGGACAGGTGTTTCTGGAGAGGACTGAGAAGACTATGCCCAGTCTTGGCCAGCTGAGTAGCAAGGACTGATTCCTTGAAAGAGGAGCAGAATGGGAAGGGGGAGGTGGGAGGAAAAACACCCTTTCTCCATCTCCTCTACACCCTATCCCCTAAGGGTTAACCCCCTCCCTCTCCCAGCCCCTTCTCTCCTCCTCCACCCAAACCCCATCTCCCTTTAATCACATCTGATACTGAGCGGCCCAGCAGGAACAAAGAGACCATTTAGAGAAACGGGGCCGAGAAAGTGACCCCCGTACTCTGGGGCGGCCGCCTGGATGCCAGCACAAAGGCGGCATTTCAGAGCTGAAATTTCAGCACCCAACTTGATTAAAGGATTCCATAAGCTTGGAGGAGGGTGGAAGGGGGTGCGAAGTCCACTGCTCCCTGAATTAACCCTTCTCCAGAGCAGCAAACACCCCTCCTGCTCCTGGGGATGCTCATGGCTCCCACCCTGTCCAGGGTGCACCCACCCTCAAGCGCCCTGCCTCTTGCAGAGGTCAGGCAAGCCCGCTCCTCCTCTTCCCGGAAGGGGAGCTGGCAGCAGAATGGAGGTCAAGGCTGGAATATTGAGGGAGCCAATCTTCCCTTCTATCCCTGTTAGTGTCAATACATACCCTCTCCCTGAGGTCTCTCCACCCGGCCTGGAGGGAGGGAAGAACCAGTGTGACTGACTGGTCTTTCTGCAGGCTGGGTAAGAACAGGACCCACTAGGACCTAGAGCAGAGGAAGAGGAGTTCTGGTCCTAATTTAATGTCACGGCTTGAACCCAGAAGCCCTGCTTCCCTGCCCGCCATCATCCCAGCACCCATCCTAGGGAAGGCCTTGTAGGAGCAGGGCCCCACACAGAAGGGAAATGACATCTTTCCAGAGGCTGGGAATGAGAAGGTATGGGTGTGGCAGACCAGAGAGGTGGGTCACCAAGGACAGTGTGCGGGGAGTGGCCTAACAAGTGGGGACCAGGGTTGGGGCAGAGGTGGGCAGGTGCTTGGCCCTCGCTCCAGCTGCTGACTTGCCCAGCAGGGCTCTCTTGGGGAGGGCAGGAGATCACTGCATCCCTAAGCTTCCTGCTGGGGCACAGGCTCCTGAAAGGGGATCCGAGCCCACGATAAGAGACTCGAGGCAGGTCCTTAGGAAACAATGGGTGGCTTGATGAGACCTGCTCTGTGATACTCCTGAGAAGGGAGAAGCCCCTGCAGCCAGTCCCCACTGGAAAGGAAATTGGGGGTTTCCGTGGCAACCAGTTCCCTGGGCACAAAGGCTCGTCTGTCTGCTGGGAAGGCAGCTGAGGTGTCTCCCTGCAGCCGCCTCTGCTCTGGTGGACGGCGAGATGTAGGGAGGGTCATGGGGGGAGGGCCCTGGTGCCTCTTCAAGAAGTGACAGTCACAGGGCCACTGGGATGGGTGCACCCTCCAAGCAGCAGGGCAGTAACAGGGAAGAAGCAAGAGGGCCTTGCAGGTAGCTGGAGGCAGAGGGGTTTGAAAAGTCAAAGGGTTTATTATTTACACGTATAAAGAATGTGAGACTAGAAACTGGGGATGAGGCACAGCCAGGAAGATGATGCCGGCTCAGTCGGTGATGATGAGCTCGTCTACCCCCCAGTCTTCATAGCTCCCGTCGGGCAGGTAGCGGCGAATGATGATGGGGATCTTTCGGGCCCTGTGGTGGGGAGAAGTCAAGGCACATGAGGGCTGGTGATCCCAGCTCTGCAGAAGGGACAGAACGTGTGCAGAATGCAAGGGAACAGAAGTCTTAGGAGCATCCTCTTGAAACTATGAATGTACTTTGTAGAAAAGGAATTACAACAAAAAAGCTCCTGCATCCCTAAGTGTGGGACAGTGGGTCTGGAAGGACCCACGGCTGAAGGGAGGAGGCGGCAGGGTAGAGGGATGCGGTAGGGACAGGAAAATTCTGACAGACAGAAGAGGTCGATGTCTCATCAATGTCCTCCCCTCCCAGCCCCCTCCTCCCTGGTGGGCTGACTCCTGAACAGACTAAGGGTCTACAGGAACAAGAACCACACTTCCCAGCAGCGAAGTAGGGGGAGGGTTGTACAGCGGAGAACCCAAAGGATGCCTCCCAGGCGCAGTGAACCACGATCTGGGTGACTTACTTGAGCTCTTTCATGGCGATGAGCAAGGGATCTGTCTCCCCCTCCAGCTCCACCATCACAGGGGCACACATCCTGCAGGTACAGGGACAAGTGTTGGGGGAGACTAGACGCACAGGGAGAAGGCCCAGCACCAAGTGGGAGGCTCGCTTCACAGACAGGATCAGCTCAGCATCCCACTCCTCCCCTCGAAAGGGCACCTTCCAGGTAGGCGGGTGTGGCAGATGTGGAGCGGCGCTTCAGGGGCGCTGACAGTGAGGGTACTCCAGTGGGAGCCAGTAGACTAGTCTTAAACTTTGCCTCCAAAGAACTGAATTTTTCTCCAAATCTCAGTATCCTCATTTGAAAATGAAGACAAAAGCCCTGCCGCGCCTACACAGCAATGATGCTAACACACTGCTGGCTAACGAGCAGACTCAGGAAGTGCTATGCGCTGCTTGGTAAGTACTACTGTCACTTCCGTTTCACTCATGCAGAAACTGAGGCACAGAGAGGTCAGCAAATTGCCCAAGGTCGCACAGACAGTAAGTGGCAGAGCCAAGGTTTGAATGGAGAAGGCTCCGCCCTGCTGTGTTGTAACACTTCCCATTAAAAAGCTGGTGATCCATAAACTGAAGAAAGGTGTTCCAAGTGTGAGCTTTCATCACTGGGCCCTACAACATTCATCACGTCAGCAACTCTGCCAAGGCCCTTCCCCAAGACCCATTCCAGGCTCCTGAGCCTGAGGCCACGGCAGAGTATTCCAGCACAAAGGACCAGCGTGTGCAAAAGCTCATCCTTCTGATTGCTCTAACTCAAGCCCCCAGCCCTGCCTCAGGGTCTAGGTCGCCTCATTTTCCTTCTCTGTCTAGGCAACACCCCCACAAGGGTCCTGCTCCCATAGCCTCTATGTGGGGCCTGCAGTCAGGCACTCATCCTTCCATGACACCTCATCTGGCCCATGCTTACCTTTCCAGCACCTTCTCATGCTACTTGCCTGTATTTACGCCACGTTCCAGCCACACCAAACTACCACAGTTCCCATACACAGCCTGTTGTCTCCTTTTTGCATCCTTACATAAACACTTCCTCGCCCTACAGGCCTGCTCAAATGTCCGCCGCTCTGGGAATCCTTGCTGAATCCTCAGTGCCCTGACTCATCTTACAAACACTTTTCTCGGCACCAGTATCACTGTCCTGCAACTTCTTGCTTGAAGTTTCCAAATTAGACCTGGTGGCCCAGGATCCCATGCCCTAGCACAACACTTGGCCCACAGCAGAGGCGCTAAAAACAAACAAGCACAAACAGGGCCAGTTCTAGGCCCACTTCCTCTGGGAAGCCAACCTTACTGATTCCAGCTCAAACTGACATTAATGGATCCCAAACCTGATAATTATCAAAATTACTAGGAGCATTCTAAAAATACAAGCTCCCAGGAAGTGGCTGTGGTAAACATGCCACCGCCAGGTGGTGCCAGTGAGCCGGATTGAGACTTCATTCAAAAACTATCCAAGAAACATTTGTTCAGCACCTACTAAGTGCAGGATCGCATGCCCAGTACTCAGGATAAGCTCCAGCCCTGGTTGTCCAAGGGCTTACAGCAGCTGAGGAAGTGCCAGATGGCACCCTAGCCCTTAATCGGAAGGAGCACTAAGCAGAGCCGAGCCTTGCTCCCAAAGAATAGCAGGATGTTGGGACCTGGTAGTGTTCTGAATACCTGCCTCCTGACTTTTAAGTGCTCCACACTGCACACCAGATGCATGCCCATCTTCTGAACTCATCACTCAAGGCATCAGTGACATCTTCTTCAGTCTTGTGCCCCAAGGTACTTGCCACTCCCCTGCCGCAGTCCACACACACCTCCATCTGGACCTTTCCTCGTGCTGTTTCTGGCACCTGAGATACGTTCAAAACCTCCCTTTACTTGTCCTCACTTGAATTCCAATTTCTTCCTGAGGCCTCCCCAGTCACTCCCTTCTTTCCTTTTTGTTCCTTTTGTAAAGCACCATCCCTGCCTGCCCTGGGTTCTGGGTATTTACAATAGGTCTGTCTCCCCCACCACGCTGTGAACACCTGCAGGACTGGGGGACTGTGTCTTTAATCAGCTTCGCATCCACAACAGGTGCAAGCACAATATCTTACTGGATGCTGAAAGACTTTAACTTGCATACAGTCTATTTGTATGAAAAAAATAATTAATGAAGTACTCTTTCTGCTGGGTCACGTTTAGCAGACGTGAGCACTGCCCAACAGAGCGCTCTGCGATTCGCAAATATCCTGTCTGTGCTATCCATTACGGCAGCCACAGCGGGCTACTGGGCCGTCGAATGTGGCTAATGAGACCAAATATGAACTTTTACTTAGTTTTACTTAAATTTAAATGGTCAAATGTAGTCAGTGGTGACCATAATTGATGGTGCAGGCCTAGAGGATCCTGACCCCAGTGATACCAAAATCATCACACCGAGTGCAGCAGACCAGCAAGGAGTGCAACAGGCTGGCAAGAGGCCTACTGGTGCCAAAGGGGCAAGGAACAACGTTGCCCACCCAGAAAACCCTCTATTGAAGTGGACAGTGGTCACCTCCGCTCCACAGGACTGGAGGAGATAACGTCCAAGGCTCTTTGAAAACTCAGGGGCGGGGAGCAGTGTGCAGACTGAGCACCACCACTCCTCCAGCACGCATGACTCCACAATTCTGGCCCCAGAATTTCTTCCTATTTTTTCTGTTTTCCACTATTCCCTACTCAAAGCAACCCCTCCTCCAGATACCCACCATTTCCCACTCCAGCTTGCAAGTTCAGTGGAGAGCCCCTTTCCTTGGCCTCACGTTTCCCCAGGAGGGCTTTCTACAAGAGCAGCAGTAACACACCTGCCCTCTCCATCCTCCCATTTACTCCTCACCAGGATGGAGGGGGAACCCATCTAACAGGGGAGCCTGGGGAAAAGCAGGCATCTGTGGCCCAGCCTCTTCAAGAGTCCCTGCTTTCTCAAAGCTGCCTGCCTGCAGAGAGGGCACTTTCAGATCTGTCCTCCGTGATGCCCACCACCTCAGCAGGCGGGCTCAGCCCTGCAGAGACGGCCTCTGGATGCCTGCAATGCCTATGGCTGATGGAGTGCAGGCCGGCATCGCACATGCTGGTCTCCATCTGTTACTAGCTATCCCCTGAATCTTGTTATTCTTCAATTAGTTCCAAACTTGGGAGAGAAAAGGCAAGGTTGCTCATTTCAAATCCCCAAACCCCTAGCATTGCTCTGTGCTTTCACATCTCTAAGTGGCCTCTGCACAGAGGGCTCTCCCACTCCTCTGGGCTGGCCATAGTCTGGTCAAATCAAGAATCACCTTAAGCCCAACAGGTGTGGCCATGGCTCCCCAACTTACCAGCCCACAATGGTCTAGGGCTGATTTTATATTTTTATTTTTGCTTCCCTAACCTGACAGGCAACCATCAAGCTCTGTATTCTTACCGCTATTCTGCTATACTGCTATTTGACTCCTCAGACGTTTATGTCCTATTTGTCCACTGGATCACAAACTCTGAGGGCAGGGGTCTAGCACAGGGCCCAGCACACAGGGACAGCACCACCCTTGTCTAGCATGTGAGAGGAGGGAGGGTCTGTTTTGGGGGCCAGGCTGGACCACATCAATAGCTCGGAGGCTCCTCGTGGCCTGACCGGTGGAAAAGATGGTGAAGAGGCACACACTCACGCGATCTGAAGGGCTCGGGTGCCCAACACGCGGGCTCGCTCATACTTGGTCATATATGGTGTGGTGATTCGCTTCTGGTTGGCCTGCGGTCGCTCTCCAGAAGGGAGGATCTCAATGTTCTCCTGGCCCTCCTGGACACCAAGGCAGAAGAGGGAAAATCGCAGGTTGCATTATTGGGGGTGAGGGGGGAGAAGGATGACGACAATGGTCATACCCAGCACTACACTACCGCTTGTTACATGCCAGTGACCACACAACTGCCTGATTAACATCTCATTTAATGCTCACAATAACCTTATGAGGTGGGGATTACAATGCCCATTTTAGAGGCTCAGAGAGTTAGCAAACTTAGCCAAAGTCTCAGACCAAATGAAAGAGAGGAATCATGATAAGAATTCCAAACCCAGCTTCCTCATCCGGAAGAGAGAAGCAGAGGGCCTGGAGATAGGGTGGTCCTAGAACACTGACTCTATACAAAGAAGTCCTTGAGCACAGAGAACAAATCACCCTTTGCAGGAAGAGGAACAAGCACCCCATCTTCATATATTCATATATTTAACACTTGACTTATTAAGCATCTGTCATGTGCGAACATCACAATACGTGCTGAGACAGAAAGCTAAGAGTTCCTGTTCTCAAAGAATTCAGTCTGGGAAAAAGACAAGAGTAAACAAAACATCAAGTGCTATAAAAGTATGTGCCACAAACTTACCAAGAAGGTGAGGGACAGCTACCTCACACTAGGGGTTAGGAATGCAGTCCAGGGCTAAGACTGCTAGTCTAGAAGGATGAGGAGGCGCTGCCAAGCTAATGAGGAAGGAAAGGGCATTCCAGGCAGGTTGAACTGCATTAGTACAGAGGAGGGAGAGAACGTACTAAGTTTGGACAACTAATTGTGGAGTATGATTAGAGCAAAAGGTAGATACAGGGTTGCAGGCAGGAGAATAAATTCCGTAATAAAGAATAATGTCAACAAATATTTATTGAGTGCTTACGATGTGTCAGATAGTATTCTAAGTGCTTGGCATAGAGCAGCGAGTAAGACAGATAAAAACCCTTTCCCTTATAGAACTTATACTATAATAAGAAAAGATATAAACAAGAAAAAAATTAAAATATGTAAAATTAAAATAATTAAAATGTGTAATATAAGAACAGAGAAAAGACAGGGAGAGCCAAGGGTGGTGTGTGGGAGGAGGGGGGAATGCAGCAATTTTAAATAGGATAGTCAGGGAACGCCTCGTTGAGGTGACACCTGAGCAACTACCTGGAGGAAATGAGGAAAAGGTCATATGCATATCTAAGGGAGAAGTGTTCCTGGAAGAGGGAAGAGCATGATCAAAGATTCTGAGCAGGAGTCTGCCTAGCATGACAGGGACAGCAAGAAGAGATAAGGTGACAGAGGTGGCAAGTGGCCAGATCATGGAGGACCTTGTACATCGTTTTGGCATTTATTCTGAATGAGATGAAGCCACTGCATGTGGGTTCTGAGCAGAGGAGAGACAATTTGACTTAAGATTTACAGGGATCACTCTGGATACTCTGTTGGGAATATTCTGTAGCGGGTAAGAGCAGAAGCAGAGACCATTTTGGAAAACCAATAGTAATCCATCATGTGGGAAGGTGAAAAAGACAACTCTGGCAGCAGAAAGGCAAACAGCAGACTGAAGGCAGAAAACCAGTAGCACAATTTCTACAGTAATGTGGGTGAAAAGCGATGAAAATCTACACCAGGCTGAGGCACTAGGAATGGAGAAACAGAAATAGGACTGAACCACATGTAGGAGGCAGAATCAACAGGACAGGGATGGAAGGGACCAGAAGGATAGAGGGGGTTTCTGACTCAGTGGAACAAGTCCCTCAGAGTGTCCTGCAGACAGAAGAATTCTGAAAAGAGGGGCTTCAGCTTCTGAGCCTAAAAAATTGTGGATCACTCTCTCTCCAGGACACATAAAGCACTTCTTCCTCCATCAGTCACACAGGACATTTCATTTATGAAGCTCATTCACCTAGTGACTCAAGCCAGAAATCTGGGAATCACCATAATCAGCTCCCACTTTCCCAAACCCACATTCAACCCACCAAAATATCTCATCTATTTTCTTATCACCAACATTACCAGCACCCAAGTCCAAGCCCCACGTCTCTCACCTGGAGGTATAGGAGAGCTCCCTAATTGGGCTCTTTCTTTTACTCTTGCTCCTCTCCAATTCCTTCCTCACTCTGAGGCCAGAATGATCCTTCTAAAGTATAAACTGGATCATGCCACTCCCAAGCTCAAAGCTCATCAGTGGCTTCCTGCTACCTATAGGCTACAAAATCCTGCCTGATCTTGGCCCTTACTTCTCCAGCTTTCTTTCTTTCCTTTTTTTTTTTTTTTTTGTTGTTGTTGTTGTTGTTAATGGAGGTACTGGGGATTGAACTCAGGACCTCATGCATACTAAACATGCACTATACCACTGAGCTATACCTCCTCCCCCTTTCTATTTATGGAGCCCAATGCAGAGCTCCTGGCACATAATAAACACTCAGCACAGGTTTGCTCAATGAATGAAGGGGATATTTCAGTTAGTGAACTAACTGCCCCAGAAGCCACATGCTGTGGTCCAAGTGGACAAAAGCCTTCAGGCCCACCCTCTAGGGGCTCCTCCCCTATCCAGGACCAGATCTTTCCTCACTCTAACTGAGCCTGCCTTGACCACAAATGGGAGGCAGATGCATTCAGTTATCACCAGACAGGCTATCTGCAGGTAGGGCTGCAGAGGGAGAACCCAAGACTAAATACTGACCTCCTCGGCATTCTCCAAGTCATCTAGCCCTTCATCCTCCTCCACATCGTCAAAGTCATCGCCATCAAAACTGTCCAAGAAGAAGAAGAAGCCAGTCAGAGCATGACTTACTAGAATCAAAGAGGGCAGAGATCTGAGTCTCATATGGTATGTAGGAGGTACTCAATAAGTATCTACTTAATGAGTGAATCATTGAATAATCACTTAACAAATCATTTAATTTCCCCATTTTAAAAACAAACAAAGCTTACTTTTCTATTCCCTCCCTGCAGAGCCCTATTTCCATGCTCCCCTTGGGAGCAAAATTCATGAAAGAGTTGTCTGTCTTCAGTGTTTCCAATTCTTCTCTTCCCATTCTGTCATCATTTCACTCCAAAGACTTCCACCTCCATGGCTCCACCAAAGCCACTCCTTTCGAGTATGTTAATGATTTCCACGTTGCTAAACCCAATGGACCATTCTTCTTGTCCTCTAGCCTTATCTAGCAGTTGGCACATCAGACCACTTCCTCTCACTCAAAACACTCTCCTCACTTGACTGCAAGGACACTTCACTCTCTTGGTGTCCCCCCAACTCCTTGGCTGCTCCTTCTCAATCTCCTTTGCTGGTTTCTCCTCTTTTCCCTTCAAGCACTCCATGTTGGGATGCTCTGACGCTCAGCCATCTCCTCTTCTCTACTGACACTTCCCTGATGATCTCCCGTTTCTCAGCTTTGACTAATATACTTATGCTGAGGACTCCCCGATTTTTCTCTTCAGAATAGACCTCTCCTCCAACCCCATACATCAGGAAATCTTTCTGGCTTTAGCTTCAAAATAAATCCGGGGGTAGAAGAAAGGGTGTAGCTCAGAGGTAGCATGCGTGCTTTGCATGCACGAGGTCCTGGGTTCAATCCCCAATACCTCCATTAAAAAATAAATAAATAAACGTAATTACCTCCTCCCCTCCCCCCAAAAAATCCAGAATTCAAAACCACTTCTCACTACCTCTACTACTATGACCCTGGGACAAATCACTACCTTTTCTCACCTAATTACTGCAAGCCTCCAGACTTTTACCACTTCAAAGTCTCCCCAGACTCTCCTCTGGATTACTTCTATACTACATACTTTTACCATGCAATTCACAGATAAGCCCCCGTATTATCTAAGGACATGTCCCCTCTTCTAGAAAGGGATCCCACTGGGAGAGCAGGGATTATGCCTAATACACCTCAGTATGTCCAAATCAAGACACAGAATCCGACTTAGCGGAAGTCTATTGAAAGGTATCTTTTCAGTGATCCTCTCTGGACCCTCGAGCCAGGGCCTGTCTGTGCTAAGCCTCTGGTCGGGTCTATGCTGCCGGTTCCCCGCCTTTCCCTTCTCCAGCTCCGCGGCCCCCCTCAGCGCCCCCCGAGTGCCTTGAGACACTGCCCCTCCACGCCTGGCTCCTCAACTTCTTTCGAGCCAGGCTTCCGCTTCACCCGTCACTTCCGAGGCTCCGCAAAGGCATTTCGCTCCAGAACTCACTTGTCCTCGTTGTCTGACATGACGCCTGGGCCGCAGCTACCTGGCTCTCTCCCCAGACCCGCGCGGAGGCCCACAGACACCGCGCCTCCGCCTCGAGCGGCGCCGCGCGTACTCTGCGCCTGCGCCGTGACCCAGAGGCAATCACTTCCGGGAGGCTGGCCGGGGCAATAAACGAGCGCATGCGTCGAGCGGCGTGTTCGCGTTACCATGGTAGCCGGAGCAGCAAGTCGCAGGCTCTAGTTGCAGAGATCGGAGAAGTATTTCTGCGGGGCGCCAGCGCAGGTGCAGCTGCAGAGACGTGGTTACGATCTCCGGAGCTCAGCAGCCTCTGTGAGGAGGGGCCACCCAGGCGGGGTCTTACTTTAGGGTGAGGTTTTAGTTTGGACGTATCACCCAAAGGGAACGGCTTCCCTAACGCCCCCTTCCTCCAGAGCGGGCTTCCCTGACACAGGCGCCAGGTCAGGATGAGGTCTGTTGAGGGTGGGAGAATCGGGCACTGTTGCGATATTGACGCGCGGTGTCACGATTCTCTTGCGACCCGACCCCCGCTCCCAAACTTGGGGTTGCGGGAACAGAGATTGGACCTAAGAGACAGGAGATGTGTCGTTGCGTTTTTCCCTCCTCAGAGCCCCCCCATGGCTTCAACGGGGTTCTGGCGCTGCCCCAAGCCGGCCACTTACACCCCAGGGACCTGTGAGCTGCTCAGAGGTCAGTGCATTAAAGGACACAAGAAAAGCGGTGGTAACAGTTACCCTCTGTACCTCAGTTCCCCCCTCCCCCCATATGACTTATGGCTTAGAGTAGTTAACTTCCGTGCATCCCTTAGATCACACTTTCAATTTCCCCAGGGAAGCTTAATTTCCTTCCCACCCACCACTACCGCAGTGGAACCAGTTGTTATGTACCCACACACTACTACATACCTTTCCCTTCACTGGGCTTAGTGCAACCTGTAGTCAGATACCTAGTGTGTCCCAATGAATTAACATTGAATTGACATCCTTCCACCCCTCTAGTTTGTGAACTCCACCAGAACACCATGCCTGTTTTGGCTCACAATTTTAGCTCCAGTTCCTGGCACATACTTAACAAATACTTGTTCATTCACTCAACAAAAAATTTTAAAGCCCCACTGTGTGCTGTAGATATCATTCTAGGTGCTGAGGATACAGCAGTTGAAAAAAACAGCAAAAATTCTTGCTCCCATGGAGCTACTATTCCAATAGGAAGGTAACAAATACTAATTAAAATATTTAGAACTTAGATGGTGACAAGTGCTATAGAAAAAAAATGAAGCAGGGAAGGAAGAGAGGGTGTACTCAGATGTACAATTGGGGCCAGGAGGCAATACAATATTAAATTTCAATAGATGAGATGAAGGCATCTGCTTGCAGCCCAGGAGGCCTCAATGAAGTGCTTTATCTTGCAGTGATGATGAAAGAATCCAAACTGACTAACTTCCAACAGCGCCACATCATGGACACCATGAAACGTAAGAGGCAATCCACAGAGGCTTTCTGGGCAGAGGGATTCTGGGCCACCATTCTAATGCTTCTCCGTATTAAGGGGGAGGGGACTTCATTTTGAAAGACCACAAAAAATCGAATAGTATTTCTGACCCTTGCTCCTGGGGAGTTGACCTGATGGGGCCTTTGCTTCGGGCACAGTCCAGCTCCAGCCAGCCTTCCCAACAGATCACAGTCCGTTCAAGACTTCCTGCCCTGCCAAATAGTCTGAATGCTGTCCTCTTACGCACATACCATTCAAGCTCTCCAAAGGAGAAGGCTGTGTCTCATTTATAGTTTTATTCATTCATAGCTTAGCTAGCAGAAACAAGATTATTGGCAGGATTCCAACTTAGGGAAAAATATGCAAAACCTTTCCACAGCTCACCTCTGACCACAGATTTTGTTTCAAGGGAAACAAAAATGTCGCTGTACATGGACACAAGAATGAGTTTCCCTCTAAGATCTTAAAAACAACCTTTGCTTTCTAAGATTTAACTGAATCAACATTTAATGGAGCAGAACAGAGATCTGTAAAGTTGCCTTTAAGAGAACGCCAGAGGGTCCAAGCCTGCTGAACTTCACTTGAATCTGCCAATAGCTATTGCCTTCTCTTGAGGAAGAGGGTGCCTATCTGGAGGCATCTGATCAACCACAGAAGCATAGGGAAGGGAGAGTCAAAGAGACAAATGTTGGCAGTGTCTGCCCAGCACTGGCCGAGGTGGGGAGGCTCCATCAAGCCAGTTCAGAAGTCAGATCTTCTTCCTCTTTGTGGACAAGGACAACTCAGGCTGCCAGAGCCTAGTTCCACAACACAGCTGAATCACATAACTCCATGCTCAGTAATCTGTTAATAATTTGGTGTCCCCTACAGCATGGCTACAAAGAGAATGTGCTAGAAATTCGACTAAAAGTAGATAGCAGGAGATCAAGAATGTGTCTACCTTATTCACCATGCTACCCCAGCTCATAGGTGCTCAGAATATTTATTGAAGGACTAATTGCATCAGTGGTTAGGCCAACACAAGTTACTGGTTTGTCTGGCAGTTTTATTCTCCTTAGAAGTTTTGTTTCTAAAAACACTGCCTCCAAGCATTGGTGTTGAATCTAGTTTCTTCTCCTAGAATCCCTTCTCTTTTTCTCTCTTCTTAACCAAGTCCTACTTGTTGTTTTGAGGCTTAGTTCAAATTCTGTTGCAAGCTACAAAATCCTCTCCTTAACCTGAACTCCCAGAATTACGTGAGTCATAAGTATTTGCTGAGAATGGGCCAAAGGAAGAGGTAGCATTTGGCGCTGGACGGGTAGAAATAAGGAGTGGAGAGAGTAAGAGGGACATTTTAGGAAACGCAGCATCTCTTCAGAGAAGAGAGAAAAACCATGGTGTGGACCATGGTAGAGGACGTGAGAAGGGGAAGGTAGTGGGAAATTACTGTATTTTCAACAGCAGCTAAAGGGACCATGTCATTCCTCTACTCCTCTGTGCAGAGACCTCCCATGGCTCCCCACTTCACACAGAGTAAAAGCCAGTCTTTTCAGAGGCCTATGAGGCCCTGTACATCTCTTGCCCTCCATGACCTCTAGCCTCTACTCCCCCTACACCCTGCCCCTTGCTCAGTCCATTCCCACACCGTTGCCTCCCAGCTCTTCCTCCAACACTCCAGACACATTCCCACTTCAAGGCCTTTGCTCTGACCATTCCTTCTGCCTGGAATGCTCTTCCCCAAAATATCTGTGTGGCTGGCCTCTTACCACTTTGGGGTTTTTTCTCAAATGTCACCCTCTCCACAAGGCCTTCCCTGGCTACCCTATTTATAATTGCAAATCCTGCTCTGATACACCCTGTGCTCCATCCCTGTACTATCACCGTCACAATCTAACATACTGTGTATCTTACGTGTTTTATCATTATCTAAACCCCAGGCATAAGCGCTGTGAGGGCAGGACTTTATCTTACTTCCCACTTTACCCGCTGTGTCCGGGGCCTGGCACAGGGTACATACTTAATCCAAATTTGCTGGGTGGATGATAGAAGAATGCTGGAAAGTTAGGGGAGGTCGGCAGGAGTCAGATCAAAACAGTGGGTAGGGTCTGCTCTGAGCGGCTATAGGACAATTGAGAGGAGGGGGCCAGTCAGCCAGATAGGAGGGGACACACTTGGCTGGCCTGGGGGAGGAGCCCCAGCTCTGGGTCTAGGCAGTGAGGATGGACACTAGGAGGGGTTGGTGTCTATTACCATCCAAACCATCCCTCCCCGCCCAGGACCAAACAGGTTTTAGAAATCCATCTATAGAAATAAAAGCACCAAGACAAAGGCTTGATGTACAAGAATGTTTATTGCAGCATTGTTTGAAGTACTGAAAAAAATCCAAAACCAAAAAAATACCCCTGGAAACAGCCTGAATTTCTGAAACTAAAAGACTAGTTGAATAAATACTGTATCTATTCTATTTATAAAAAATAAGTTATATATAAATGGAGCGATCTGGAAAGATATCCATGATAGGTTGTTAAGAGTCTATTACTGACTACAATACAGTATGATCCAGTGTTTGAAAACAGAATCTTATGTATGTATATATATCTTTGAACATAAAACATGTAAGCATCAAAAAGAAAGGACCAAAACTACCAAATTGTTGCCATGGCTCATTGTAGGGGGAGAGTTGGAAAGAAGGGGAGACTTCTGTAATGTCTGACTTGTTATAACAGGTAAGTACCACTTTCATAAAATTTTTTTTAAAAAGCCAGGTGGACCCCCCGACCCTGACCCTTCCTTCCCCAGGAGGAGACCCTCTCCCTCTACAGTGCAGCCCAGCTTCCAGCCAGAGGGTCTTGCCTTCCAAGCAGCCAGCCTCGGCCATCTACCTGCCTCCCATCATGGCAGCTCGGTCCCACCTCCGGCCTGCCAGCAAGTGCCAGGCCAACGGGGCCTACAGCCGGGAGCAGTTCAAGCCTCAAGCCACCCGTAAGTGAGGGGCCTGGACTGCAGCCCCTCCCCTACCTCCCTCCAAAGAGGGCAGGCAGGGAGACCAGCAGCCCTCAGGGTGCTAAGCAGGCATCATCTAATCAAATTCTCAGGCTGGTTATACCAAAGCTCTTGAGCCTTGGCACACGTTAGCTTGGGAGTGTTCAGAGTGTATGGGAAACCAGCTAGGTATTCCTTTTTATACATCTTTCCAGAACTCTCTTTAACAATTAACTGGTTTCCACCGATTTCTGATGAATGTTTGGCAGTCAGGTGTCACAGCCACTGCTCTCTCAAGCTCACACGGTGCCTGGAGCCCAGGGCTCCTCTGCACCCCAGCCTATTTCACAGAGCCATTCATCCCCCGCTTTCTGCTTGGCACCAGACATAACTCTTGGCCTAGACCCTCCAACAGCTCCACGGAGCCTCTCCACCCGGGCTGCACCTTGGCAGTCACTGCGTTTTCTTAGCCTTGCCCTGCACCAAGGCAGGCTGTGCATTTTGACAAAGCTTTCTTCCAGGTTCTTTCAACCCCTCCCTGTCTGAAATGACATGACCAGCTCAGGGGCACCCAGGGTAGAAGGTGCCAGGACTGCAAAAACCCTACCCACATTACCCAGGCACCCTGGAACCAGCGAACCCAATTGGGAGCACAGACCATGGATGGGGGTACCCTTTATGCCTTAACTTGGCCACATCTGGGTCCAACAGGAGATCTGGAGAAGGAAAAGCGAAGACTGCAAAGTATCTTTGCCACCGGGAAGGAGCCAGAGGAACGGAAAAGCAAGCCCCCTCCTGTGCGACAGGAGGACCCAGCCCCGGAGCCGGACCGCTTTGAAGAACGTAAGCCCCTGATGGGCCAGTCATGCTGGGGAAGGGAGTGTGTGTGGAGGGGCCCAGAACCAGGGAGGGGGACATCCCTGAGGGCCAACGAGTCAGAAACTGACCCCAAAACTGCTTCCTGTTCCCAAGAGAGCCGCCCCTGCCACCCCTCCTGGGAGCCTGACGGTCCCCACTGTCCTGTCCTGATGGCCCTCTCCCTGTCCAGTGGTGAAGGAAATCCAGGAGAGGAAAGAATTCCTGGCTGACATGGAAGCCCTGGGGCAGGGCAGACGGTACCGAGGGATCATCCTCACTGAAATCTCCCAGGTAGGAGAAGCCACAGGGAAGTGGGGCGGGACGTGCCCATGTGAGTGTGGAGGACGAGAGGTGAGTGGAGAGAACGGGTCAGCTGTGGCCATTTCCGGAGTTCAGCTCTAGCCTCATATCTGTGGTGGCTCCTGGAGTTCCCTCCCTGATACCCAGCTTTCCTCTGCAGAAACTACAGGAAATGGAAGACATTGACCACAAGAGGAGTGAGGAACTTAGGAAGGCTCTGGCCACCACTTTATCTGTCTCCAGAGGGGCGGGAAGCCCAGCCTCCACCACTGGAACACCCACCCCCTTGCCAAACAGGGTCACCCCCAGGTCAGCCCAGCCACCCTGGCCTTCAGCCATGTCAAATGGCTGTATAGCACTGCCCCTGCCTAGGGTACCCCAGACAGAGACAGCACCCTAGAAAGTAGACTGATTCTCCTGGATACCTGGCCCAGGGATCCCAGGTCAGCTGAGCCTCTGAGACCAGTCACAGATACAGACACGCACCAAGACACACGACTTGGAGTCTTTTCTCAGAGGAAGAGTCCCCCCATACACAGTGAAAGCAAGGCCCAGGTCTCACCATCTCGGGCTTGGGTCTAAGGGTGGCCACTGGGCCCTCTTCCCACCACCTCACCCACTGTGTGTCCCCATGTCCTCCACATTTGATTCTCTGAACTTAGGAATGAATGACTCCTTTCTTCCTACCTGTCTTAGGACCTACTTATATGACTTCTTACCACCTTGGGCAAATGTTTAACCACTGTGATTAACTGGCCAATAAAACACGTTTAACAGAGGTCATTACACATACCATTTTGTTTTCTGAGGGATAAGTCTTATTTATTCAAGGGGTTAGAATTTTTCAAGCCCAGGTGGTTTCTAGTTGTTTGCATACTTCAAGTGAAAACAGGAACCAGCGTTTCTGAGCACCCCACGGCCAGGCGCTGCGGCGGGTGCCAAGATCACTCTCGGCTGATTCTCTCAATAAACACCTGAGATGGCTGATTATCCCTCGGTAAAAACTGGGGCTCACAGAGATACTATGGCCAGAGTCTTTTAACTAACAAGCAGCTTACTCAGGATTAAAGGTTAGCTTTCTGTCTTCCCACCAAACCCACAGCCCATAGAAGGAAGCCCAAAGGGGTGGAAGGGACCCAGACTGAGGGGGCCCTGGGCTTGGAGTTCCACTCCCAGCCCATGTGGTCTAGGCCCCACAGCCTCAGCTCTGACGGCTCCTGAGACACCCGCCCGCAGGGACAGCGCCGTGGGCCTGGCACGCAGCACAGGGCAGTCCCCATGTCTTCTGACAACCACAAGCCCTACGCTCTCCCGGATTCTGTCATTTTGCTGTCCCCATAAATCAAAGTATTTTAGAGATTTCAACCAACCCTCCCACTTGGAGGGATTCATATAATCCTCTCAGGCCACATGACCCAAGTTCGGGTTTGCAGAATAAACATGGCCCTGCAGCCTCAAGCAAATAAACAGTGAGGACCAGATCAAGGGTTGGCTCCAGAACATTCCATGGGAAGCCTGTCTCCACACACACCCTCCAGAACCTGAGGACCGAGCGTGCAACGTGACGAGGACAGCCGCCGTCCACCTCAGAGGCCGCAGCACGTGGCCCAGAGGCAGCGAGCTGGAGGACCCAGGACAAATTCAGCCCACCTGTGACACCACAGCAACCTACCCTTGGTTTAAATTCAGATCAGTTGCCAACATTTACAAATTACACACACACCGTCTGGATTTCTAGTTTCTTTTGAAAAATGGAAAGGTCAGGCCCCACTGGGCTGACATCCCTACATGCTACATTTGACTTAAGGGAAAAAGAACCTCCCCCTCTGGCTGCGGCATATCCACCCCAGATCACCCCAGTCCCCACCACCAAGTCCCCCGAAATCAAGTCAGCCTGACAGAGCCCAGCCTGGTTCATGGGTGTCACCTGCCCGGCCCCTGGAAGGTACTGGAGTTGGTGACCCCAGCTCCAGGTCCTCAACAGGCACGTTTGGAAGGAGAGGCCGGGCTGCACAGGTGTGGGAGCCACCTTCCCTGCAGAGGAAGCGGTCCCGCCCGCATCGGTGGCAGCCCGTCCACACCCTCCTGGGCAATCAGACAGGCGGGCCACGAGGCGCGGCCAAGGCAGGGAAGACAGCAGACCTGGCGAGGGGAAGGCACCCCAAGGCTGCAGGACACCAGCAATTAGAGGTGGTCTCTGTTTATTGTCAGTGAGGAAAACCCTCTCAAGTTAATACAGTGCGATCTTTCCACAAGAGGTGTGCTGAGGGCAAGGGGCCCTAGACACACCCCAGACATAGCTTAGAGCAACAGTGCTTTGACCAAGAGCTGTTGGGCACATTCCCGGGGGTACGGTGGTGGTCCCCACCCGCGGCTCCTCTCCCACAGCCATCCCAAGGAGTGAGCAGCCGTCAGTCCTTCGGTGGGAGAGAACGGACAACAGACGAACATGAGGAGACACACTAGCAATGACCACCCAGAGTGGGTGCACCATGCCCCAGCCCTGGGGTGGTGGGGAAGGGCGGACAGGAGGGCCAGGCTACCGTGTGGTACAGGACCAGGATTAGCACCTACGGGCAGCACACCCCTGCTGCTGATCTGGCTGAGGGTCAGGGATCAGAACTCCCCAAGGCCCATCCTGGGGGACTCAGCATCCTGGCACCCACCCACCCCAGCACGGCCATCAGAGCCCCACGTCCTGGGAAGTGAGATTTCCTGCAGAACAAGGGGAGATGAGGGAAGAACCTCCTAGAACTTCCAGGAACAGAGGAAGGGATTTGTCCATCAGGCCCATTCGCATCTGAGAACACAGTAACTACCTCCAACTTAATTAAGAGACTTCATAAATAGAGCTCCTGAGTGAGGAGAAACGGAGTCAGGGCCGCCCGCATTGAAAGGAAGTTTCAGAACCAGGACCAGGGCGGGAAGAAGCCAGTGCAGCCGAGCCCTGCTCACCGGCCTGCCGAGAGGGGAGAGCCCATGAGGCAAGACACCCAAGCCGGAGGGCTACCATCGGCCCAAAAGACAGACCCAAAGACTCTGACAGGTAAGGCTGCCATCTGGATGTGGCACAAAGAGAAGAGGGTCCAAGGAGCTACCCGGCTCGGCAGAGGCTGAGCGGGACGAGGGGCGGGTGTGCTCAGCGGCTGCCGCTCCCAGACCCAAATCCAGACCCGGGCCCGGATCCGGCTTGCTCCTGGGGATGGTCACAGCATCTGGAGTCGTCAGAACCAGGCTGGGCGCAACTGAAGCCGCCTGGGGCTCAGAGGAGAGGGAAGAAAACTCTTTGGCCCAGACCAGGCAGAGGACCCTGAGGAGGGAGAGGCTGTCACCAAGAAGCCCCCTTCCCTTAAGTCATCTTTCCTCTCAGCTGATCCTGAAGGCAGCGGGGTGCTCCCAGCAGAGCACAGCCCAGGGCCAAGCCAGGAGGGGTGGGGCCCCCAGCTGGCGGCATGCTGTCAGCTCTTGTCCCCAGGGGACTTGCTCTTGGGGTCCCGCTTGTTTCCCAGCAGCTTCAGCACCTTCATGGTCTTGAACTTGCCCTTCTTCTTGCCCTCGGGTTCAACCTCTTTCTGGAACTCTGCAGAAGGGATACGGGAGTCCATCAGGGCAGGCCAGGGGTGGGGGTGATGGCCAGGAGCGATGGCCCACCTCCGCCACCACCTTGCCCGGAACCATGGGCACGTCCCTGCACCCTTCTGAGCCTCCGGTTCTTCGTGTCTAAAATGCGACATACCCTCCCCAGCGTTTAGGCAGGATTGGGAGACGAGCACACATGAAAGCAACATGGGAGCCCCCCAGCCTGGAGTACGTCCATCTTTAAAAGGCTCAGTTCCCCCAGGCTGGTGCCCACAGCTCTGCGCATTACAACACAGACGCTGACAGAGCTGGACAAAACCTCAGAAAATCATCCATCCCAGCCCCAACTTATTACAGTTGAGGAAAATGTGGGTTTTGAAATGGACTAACACCATCCTAGCTCTTTGGAGGTGCCAGGCCCCGGGCTAAGGGCTTTCTATGCGTTATCTCAGTCATCCTCAGCACACGCCCGGGAGGTGGGTGCCTCTGTCACCCAGGTCTGCAGACGAGGAGAGGAGGCATAAAGGGGTGAGGTGGCCGGCTCAAAACCATCCATCTGGGAAGCACCAAAGCTGGGACTGGAATCCAGTCTAGCTGGAGCCTAGACTTAACCACAGGCCACAACATGAGTCACTGGTGGAACCAAGATTAGGCCCAGATCTCCTGCCTCCCAGTCCAGGGCTCTTTTAACCATTTTAGGCAGTATCTTATCTGCAGGAGGGATTGCTCTTTGAGCCCACAGACCCCTCCTAAACCAGCTGTAGATCTCAAGGAGGAATGCAGGGTGTAAGGCAGATGCACCCTGGGAAAATGCTCCCGTATGCCGCCATCTTCCCCTTGGGTACACCCTCCTGGCTGTAGGCTGGCTGGCCTTCCTACACCTGGCCTTCCCGGCAAAGCAGAGGCTAGGAGTTTGCACACACTGTCCCTGTAGCACCCGCTCCAACCCTTTGTTCAAACTGCCCCCCACCCTCCAGGAGTTAAGTGGGCCAGGGCCCCAGGAGGGGCCTCACCTTTCTTCTTGATCATGGCTTCTAACATCTTATCTTCCTCTTCCTCCCTGAGATGAGAAAGGGAAGCTGAGTGTCCCACAGGAGGAAGGACCAGATCATCTCTCAGTCCCCTCCAGACATGGAGTCCACACAGGGTGAGCAAGGGCACACTGGGACGGCTGGCAGTGAGGGCAGAGCTGGCCTGCCTGCTCTGGGCTCCGCCCCAAAGGCAGCCCTGGGGAAACCCTCCCCCGATCATGTCACCTCTGCCGGTCCTCATCTAGGCAGTTGACGATGGCGTTGCGCTGCTCGATGAGGGTCACGAGCTCCTGCATCAGCACCTTCTCTCGGCCCCGGTCCTCCTCTGTCCAATCCTTTTCTGCCCAAGGGGAGAGTTGGGGGACATGAGTTCCAGAAAGCGAGGAACCAACACCTAAGGGCTAAGGGTGGCCCGGACCAGCCCCACACTAGACACCACAGGGACAGGGAGGAGGCCCCAGATGGGTGGGGATTGTAAGGAGAAATGAAGGCTGTCATAGAAGAGATCAAGGATTCCAGTCTGCCTACCAACAAAACTCTGCAAGGGAGCTCCGGGAAGGCCAGCACACACGTGTTCTAACGGAGACCAGCAAGTGCCGAAGAGTTTCCTGCTTATGTTCATTATTCATTCAACAAATGTTCACTAGGTGGTTTCTTGGGGGAGGCAGGATTCGGGCTGGGCCTGCTGAGAGCCTCCAATGGTGGGCTGGCCAGAGTGGGGCAGGGTGGGAGATAACAGGGAAACCCAGGGGTCCTCATGCAGGAGAAGCAACATGACCCAAGTGGCATACTGGGGCATTCATATAATGCCATGAAGGAAGGCAGACTAGAGGGGACCGCGTAGACAGGAAGCCTAGCCAGGAGGTGTTCCTGATGTCTCATACACTTGCTGCCCCTCCAGCCTCCTCTCAAGAACCCTCAAGAGCCCGAGCCATCCCATAGGACCACCCCCCAAGGCCCGGCACCTGCAGCTTGGTAATCTCTCACCCAGCCCACAGGCTCCCCGGGAATTGATGCCCACACTTGACCTTCCCTCCAACATCTGCCACCACAGGCCTCCTCATCTCAAAATAAGCATCCTGAGACCCCTGAGCCATGACCCAGCCCCCTACCGCCTCAACTTGCCCAAACTCCGGAGCAGTTGGCCCAGCAGAGTTCTGGGGATGACATGGGTTTCAGCGTCACCACCTCAGTTCACATCCTACTTTGCTACTTCCCAAATCTAGGGCCTGGGTAAGTTACATCCCAACCTACATGTGGGAAAACTGAGGCTTGGGGAAGTTAAGTCCTTGACCAGTATCACACAGCAAGGGTAAATATGAAAACGAATATATGTATGTATATGCAAGACTGGGACATTGTGCTGTACACCAGAAATTGACATATTGTAATTGACTGTACTGCAATAAAAATAAATAAATAAAAATTTAAAATAATAATAAATAAAACACAGCAAGAATAGAACCCAGGCAGCCTGACACCCCCAAGCTACAGCCCTTATGGTGACCTGTGGGTCTCCAGCCCACCTAGGGCCTTATAAACCATCTCACCCTCCAAAGGCAGCATCTGGGACAGGATGACAAACTCCAGTCCACCACACAGAGGGCTGGAGAAGCAACACAAAAAGCCCAGGACCAGGCTGGCCTGGGGTACAGAGGTGCTGCGCCCACCCTGGCCACAAGGTGTCGCTGCGGCTCCCTCTGAGTGACAGCCACGCCCCAGCCTATGGAGATGGGAGTGACTCATAGATGGTAGGGCTGGGCTGGGACATTCTGTGACCTCCCTAGGGACACTCCTGCCTCTAGGTCTCATCCAGCCTCCCAAGCTCCCCACTCAGTAGAAAATCAAGGCCACTGTCTCAGCAGGCAGGAGAGGCTATGTGGAGGGACAGGCCCAGGTCAGAGACGTGTATAGCCCAGCTCTGCCACCAAAGGGCAAGACTCTCAGCCTCGCTGGCTCTCCATTTCCTCATCCGTCAGATGGGAACGTGAATGCCTACTACCTGGGCCACAGGAAGTGGTCAAAGGCCTTGTCTTCCGCCCCTGGACACTCCCTAGTCCGGCTGTCTGTCCGCTCACTCCACATCCTGGTCCCAGATCCCAACTCAGCCACATAATAACTATCAGCCATCAGCCCCTCAGAGGGCACAGAGCCCTTCCACATCCACTGTCTCCTGGGCCTAAGAATACCCTATGAGGTGGGTACCCTTCATCCCTGCTTACACATGAAGTTCAGAGGGGCTAAGAAAGCTGCCCCAGGTCACCTAGCAAGTTAGCGGCAAGACCCAGGACTATCTGACTCCCCACCCAGGCCCTCCTGCTGCTCCCCCCCCCCATTCCGAGCACATCCCATCCCTCCCTTCCAGAGTTACTGTGAGCCACACTGTGGGGGCCTTTCTACCACTCCTCCTCCCACCAGCAGTCCTGCTGTCCTCTGGCCTAATGGCCATGAGCTCAGAGCTGCCCCTGGACAAGCACCTGCCCTCCCTCGATCATCGGGGCAGCCCTGGGCCCTGGAGCCTGACCCCTCCCCGCTGGGGTGCTGCCCAGCCACACATCTCAGAGAGTCCACGGCCCAAACAGGCCAGTCTGCTCCTGGGCGTGATGCTCCCAGCAGGCCTGTCATCCCACACCACACATCATACCCTCACGCCAGCCATGCTGTTCCCTCTCCGTTCACAGTTCGAGCCTATTTATCACCTGTTAGAACCCAGACAGCACCTCCTGGCCCTGTCCTCTGGCCTGTTCCCAGAGCCTGCCTGCGCACCCCCATCAGGGCCCTGTCTGCCCACTTCCCAGCCCGCAGGGGAAGAACCTGGCCCACTCTTCCATGTCACCGGGCCCCAGGGCGGGTGTCAGGGGTGTGGGTGTGACTGCACTCACCTGGCTTGTTGAGGAGGCACCGGAGCTCATACTCCACATCGGCCTGGCGCTGCTCCAGGTTCTGTTGCTTGAAGCTAGAGCATGAGAATAAGGCAGTTATTAGGTCTGCCCCAATCTCCTGCCCTGAGCCTCGCAATGAGGGAAGAAGGTGCAGATTCTCAGTCAGTCCTAAGCTCCAAAGATTCTGGGGAGGGGAGCCAGGGGCCAAGGGGAGGAAGGACTCACACATAGATGAGCTCGGACTCCCGCCGGACCAGCAGATGCTTCTCGTGGATGAGCTTGAACCAGTCCACCAGCAAGTCATCCTCACGGCCCTCTGGAAGCCAGATGCCCACTGAGGCCAGGGCTGGAGGCAGTTTCTCCCTTCAAAGGAACCATGGTGGCTCCTACACAGGGAGAGAGGCTCCCCCCACCCATCCAAGTCCCACCCACAGGCCCCCTACAGCTCCCACACCGTTCACTCCCCCACGCAGCTTCTCCTCCAGCATGACCCCACGGTGTTCCAGGGCATCCAGCTGGCGCTCGATGGTGTCCATCTCTCCGTGGATGTCCTCCTCGGGGATGTACTGGTCAGCCTGGACCTGCCCGAAAGCACCAAGTCACCTGAAGGATACAGCCTGCCCTCCCACATGTCTGCTGCCAGAAGCTTCCCTCTTCTCTCCAGCCAGCACTGGCCACCACAGGCCCAGGCCCCGGCTCTGTCGCACACCCATGTGGCCAGATACCAGGATCCCAGTGTAGGGAGGGGTGGGTGCAGAGATAGGGCTTGGTCCTAGTGCCAGCAGGCACACCCAGAGACACAACTTCCTGCCTCTTGTGGCAACTTCCTCCCCCTCTTCTGCCACTTCAGAAAAGATATGACAAAGTAAGAGAATGACCCTATTAGAGAAAGAAATTGAGAATACTCTAAGCTGGTTAAGTAGAAGTATGTCATGTGAACACTTTGATCCTTGAACTATTATTAGTAACAAGTTAAATGCATCACCCGTTGCTTTCGGCTGAGAGCAGCTGATCTGCTCAAAATCCCCCTGGCTGCAAGTTACATCTCCCAGCCGGGCCTCACAAGCATCTCCTTCCTCCAGCACCTGAGGGTAGCTGCCCAGATAGCCCATCCTGTCACAGAGTCCCATGGGAAGCCTGAGTCCGCCAAGGGAGGAGGCCCAGGCTCAGGCAGCCTGGTGTCCAGGGTTCCCAGCCGTACCTTGCGTTTGATGAGCGGGAAGCCGTGTCCTGGGGCAGGCGGTCTCGCTGGCTTCGAGCCCTTGGTGGCCTTCTTTATGGTTGGGGATGCTGTGGGTGATGCCTTCCGGTTAAAAGGATTTTCCTTACAGGAAGACTAAAGGCAGGAAGACATGACAGAAGATAAGCTGGGGCTGGGGGCAGGAAGACCCTGGCAGCCTGATCACCTGGGACTATGGCAAGCAGACCTGTCCCCGGGGAAGGAGGGTCCAGGCAGAGAGGGAACCTCCCAGCATCTGGTCTCTGAGGCACTCAGCCATCCAACAAACACGTCCATTTCCCAGCGCCTCCCTTGTGCACCTGCTGCACCAGATACTGTTCGAGCCTCACAACCACTCCATAAAGTAGGTAGTGTGATGCCCACTTCACCGCTGCGTAAACTCAGGTTCAGAGAGGTTAAGTAAATCGCTCAAGGTCATGCTCTTCCCAGGGGCCCAAGCTGGGATGAGACTGTTTCAGAGTGGGGCTGGGGGCAGTGGTCAGGACATGGAGTTTAGGGTCGGACAGAGCTGTACTAGCTCATTCGGGCCTCACAATCTCCCTTTTCCCAGCAGGGATTCCAGGGCTCAGAGGGATGAAGCCCCTTGCGTAGGGCCGCCCAGCCAGGAAGTGCAAAAGCAGGGATCCCGCCTTCCACCAGCCGGAAGAGGGAGGAGGAAGGTAGCTCCCGCCCTGCCCAGGAAAGACTCACATCCTCTGCTGCCCCCTAGGGAGATCCCTGTCCTCTCTGAGGCCAGCACAGTCGGGTTGGCCCAGCCCTGGGACAGGCCCCGCCTGCCACACAGGCAGTGCCAACATTTTCCAACCACTTGTCCCAGCTCATCGGAAACAGAGGCATCACCTGAAGCCACGGAGTGCTCCCAGGAGTGATCACCCAGCTCTCCAACAACTACGGGGAGGAGAGAGGAGCCCTGCTCACCTCACCTGTGCCAGCCCTGGGAGAGACTCTTGCAGGTTGGAAGGTGCTCTGGGATCTGAAGCAAGGAAAGTGCCAGGCCAGAGTCCAGGCACCACAGGGAGACAGACCTGCCCAAGGTCCCTGTCTCCTGCCCCGCTGCCTCTGGGATTCTCTCTGAATCCTGGGATTAGGGTTGGGGCACCCCAAGAAGGAAGACCATGTGAGGTCTGCCCCCACCCTGCTCAGTTACACCCAGAGGGGCCCAGCAGGGCCAAACAGCCCGAAGGCCTCCAGCCCCTCAAGGGTTCTCAGCCTTTTCTCAGCCACAAAACTCCTTCAGACCAACCTTTCACAAACCACAGGACAGGAGACAGATGTTTAAAGGGAGCTGCCTGTAGGGGGGAGGGGAGAGGCATCCAAAATCCACTCCCTCCCCCACCTCCCACACCAAGGAACCCTGGGACTCCTCAGAGCAGAGAGAACCAGAGAAGGGATGGGGCCTTCTCCAAGTCACACAGCAGGTGGGTGGCCAAGCTGGACAGGAGGCTGTGGCCTGGGGCCAGGGGAGGCTAAATAACCTTCAAGAGGCACACAAGTGGAGGCTGGGCCAACAGCTCAGGCCCTTCCGCAGACTCATCCTCTGTCAGGTCGGTCAGACCAGGACCACAGCCAGCCCACGTGAGCTGTCCTGCCACCCTCCACCCGGGGCTGGACGAGTCTTGGGCCCTCAGAGGGCTGCAGGGCACAGAAGGTGGAGGATCAGAACCTGGTGGCACAAAGAGGCCACGGCTGCAGGAAAGGTCCCCTCGTGAACCAGGTGCCCAGAAGAATATCCTGACCCCTGTGATGCCCTATTCTTGAGGTGGGACTGAGAAACAAGTGCTCCCCCAGCCCACAAAGGTCATCTGGAAAATGAGCTCCCAGGGATGGGTGCCCAGCAGACCCTCCACGTGCCTACTCAGCCCAGAGAGGAGACGGAGCCCGGGGCGAGCCTGGGAGGGGGCCTGGAGAGGGGAGCCCAGAGCAGGGTCTGTCTTCAGCCTAGGAGCTGCACACAACAAGCACTCAGTAAATCACTCCACTTCCTATGGAGGGCTGACCACCCCTCACTACAAACTCTGCACATAGCAGTGTAGTCATTTCAGTAGCCCACCCCGACCTGACTGTGAGCAGCTGAGGGGCGGGGACTACCACAGCCACATCACCTCCGGAGCCCAGGCCAGCCCGTGCGCACAGGAGGGACTCAATGAACACCAACTGCCCCGTTCTACAGGAGGGGAGACTGAGGTCTCTGGAGAAGGAAAATGACCCCGAGAAGGTAGTCATCCCCTCCTCTCTGTGCTCTACCCCAGGGGACCTTGTAGAACTCAGCTGGGCCTCTCTCTCTGAGCAGAACGTGAGTTCCTAAAGGGCAAGGACAGGGTCTCAATGCCATCCTGCCAGGGTCTGGCACACACAGGGCCTCAGTGAATGGAAGGGTGGACAGAAGGATGGCTGGTGGACACTCCCCAAACGGGCAAGTGCCTGGACACAGCAGGTAAATAATAGCTAGAGCCTCAATAAGCAGAGGGCCAGACAGGTGGACAGGTGAACAGATGGACGGGAGGTCTGGCCAGTGGATGGCAGGATGGAGAGATGGAGCTGGACCTCAGTGAATGGAGTGGGGAACGGGTAGCTGGCCCCAGCCAAGGTCACCCAAGAAGCTAGGGCCAGCAAAGATGGAAGGCCCTGGACACTCCTGCCCTGAGACCAGGCCCACATCCACTGGACAGGACAGCAGCTTTGAGCAAGGGTGAGGCACTCACCTTTACCTGGAGCTGTGGGGACGAGGTTCCAGGGGAAGGTGCAGGGCTCTTGTCTCCAACCAGCAGGAGAGGGGTGGGGGCAGCGCCACTGCAGGGCTTGGCTGGCGGGGGACCCGGGCTGCCCCCAGTACTGGGGGCAAGGCCAGGGCTGGCTTGAGGTGTCCGGTCCACACTGGGCTGCACCAGCTCCCCAGAGGAAGACAGGGAGGAGTTGGTGGAGAGGCTGGCAGAGGTCCCAGGGGCGCCAGGGGCATGGACAGCAGGCTCTGAGGAGCTCTTGGGCACAACTGGCGGCTCTAGAAGCTCCCCACTGGGGGGCTGGCTGGAGCCCTCGGACGACAGGCTCTCCACGCTGAGGGCTGGCGACGGGGTGGCCGAGGGTGGCTCCGAGTGTGACAGGCGGGAGGCGTGGAGAGCTGCAGAAATGAACGTGTGAGTGGGTGCCGTGTGAGGGGCAGGGGCAGGGCTTCCAGCCTCCCCTAATGTGCTCTACTCTCGACAGAGCTGCAGGTGGCCCTGGAAACCCACATCCTCCACATTCAGAAAAGCAAAAGCCCAGAGAACAGCAAGTACATGGCAGGACCAAGGTCACTGGCAGACAAATCATCCAAATTCATCCCACGTTCCTCAGGCTCTGATGGGCCACCTCGGGACGTGTCCATAGCCCTGGGTTTCTTTCCTCATCCAGCATGGCTGCGGCCTCCACTTCCCCTCCCACATCCAATCTGACCCAAAGCAAAGCCGAACTGAAAAGGCAAAAAGCCTCGCTTCTGTCTGCCTTCTCCTCTGCCTCCGACCTGAGAGGGAGGAGTGGGCAACCCTCGCAGTGGCCAGCTTGCGGCCAGGCACTGCCCTGTGCCACCGTCATCCTCAGGCAGATGATGGATAAACCATGTGTCAAGGTATCAGCTGCACTTTCCAAATGAGGCAACAGACTCAGAGAAGACAAGGGCTGGGACTGGACCCAGCTGTGTCTGACTCAAGAGCTCATCGCATCGGCTGCATCCCTCGCTCACCCACCACCTCCACTGTGACAAGCACACTCAGCGGGAGGGTCCCAGGGCACCAGCAGGGGCCCAAGCAGAGACCCTGGACCACCTGAGCTCCTGCCTCTGGTCACCTCCCACATGCTCTCAACCCCACTGTCTGAGGGGCTCCCCCAGCGGTCTTGGAGGCAGCCGGACCCCAGCCGTGGTAGAAGGTGACCAGGCACAGGGCCCAAGGAGACTGCAAGATGGTGAGAGGAAGTGCTGGGCGGAGGGAGACACAGTGCCCTGCAGCTGGCCATCACCTCCATTTTCCAGATGGGGAGACTGAAGACAGACACAGAGGAGGAAGTGCTCAAAGTCACTAGTGCCATGTCATGCATCCAGGTCAGAGCCCGAGCTGCCTGGTGACTGCAGGATAATGACTACATGGGCCAGTTTGGAGCTAACTCTTGCCGCGTGCTTCCCGAGACCTGATATTGTGCTGAGCACTTCAGTGGATAACACATTTAATTCTCACAATAGTCCTGTGAAGTGGGTTATGGAAAGTTAAGAGCCTGGAGTCTGGACCCTGGGTTCAAATTCTGCCTCCACTGCTTAATCACATTGAGGCTTTGGGCAAATCACTTACCCTTTCTGTGCCTCAGTTGCCTCACCTGTCAAATGGGGTATGATACCCACCTCACAGGTTTGCTGTAGGATTAGTTGAGGACACATATGGCACCTGGCCTGGAGGGGATCCCTCTAAACCACAGGCCCTTCCTCGGCCCTGGGCTGATCAGATGCCCAACCCCAGAGTCCCAACTGTTGGAGAACTTCCAGGAAAGGCACTCACCGAGGGGGGACGCACTGGGTGCTCGGGGGGCCGGGCGCTTCTTTGTCTTTGGGCTGCTGGTCGGGGTGATGCCATACCAGGGGTGTAGGGACTTGGGTGTGGACTCCGGGTGAGCCAGGGCAGGGCCAGTGGCCACACTGGGTGCAGCTGAGGGCTCTTCCTCCTCCTCCTCAAAGGGGTTGTAGGGTTTGGGCTCCGGGCCAGCCGCCTCTGAGCCCCTTGCAGCCACCTCGTCCACACCTCCGTTCTCCACCTGCCTGCTGTCCCGGCCTGGCGGCGGCCCGGGGCTGCTGCTCGGGGGCGGGGGCGCTGGCTTCTTCTTTGGCTCTGCCTGCACCAGCGTGATCCACGGGGGGTCCTTCCTGGGGGCTGGCGACCTGGACGGAGGCAGGAAGAGGCAGAAATCATTAGGAGGCAAGGGCAGCCGCATCCTCTCCACGGACAGTCCTGAGTCCTCAAACAGGGTGGATGAGACACCGCGCCCTTCTCTCCCACCCTAGCCCCGTGGGGCCAGTCTGGTACCAAAGCTGAAGAGACCTTGGGGTCCTCTGTCTTTCTGCCTGTCTCTCCATCTCTGCCCCCCTCTCTCATGGACCATACAGGGGAAGCACGGCTCCCAAAGAACAGCTGGGAAGAGATGTCCTCGCCTGTGACGCAAGGTCCCGGGGGTGGAGGAGCTGAGCCAGGTGCACAGCTGGGCTTTTCTGGGTCTTTCTGTACTCTGCTGCTGATTCTCACAACTCTGGCAGCGAGGCCTAGGCCCCCCACCATTACAGAGGCAGCAGAGGCTTGGAGAGGTGAAGGGACCCCAGAGGCAGCCATCTCTTAACAGGCACTGCTGCCCACAGGAAAGGGGACCCCAGGGGAGCCACAGGGAAGGGGATACAGGCACAGGCTCCTGCTGGGGGGTGCGGGTGAGCTCTGCCCATTCTTGAGAGGCTGTGCTGGTGGGTCACAGGGCCTTGTTACCCATCCAGGCCCCAAACAGGGCCCTGAAAGCCCCTCAGGGGCCAGCGTACCTCTCTGACAGCTTGGGCGTCCCTCTGGGCTTGGGGACGGGGGGTTCATGCAGCCTCCCTAGATGGGAAAGGAGAGTGAGACAGGCCTTCATGAGCAGCAGAGTCGGGCACCCAGGGAACCGGCCAAAGTGCCGGCCTCACCAAGGAGTGCCCTTCCTTCACACCTGGTGGGCCCTGGACTCCGCGGGGCCATGGCAACCTCACCTGGACCCTCACACCTCCTGGGCCCAGCCCTCAGGGAGACAAGATAAGCACTGAAGGTGAAAGGTAGAGAAGGTCAAAGGGGAAAGGCCAGGACACCTGGAGACCCATCTGAATTTCAGTTAAGAAGGGGGAACCCAGGTGCCCTCTAACACTTCCCCACAGTGGACAGGAAATACCGTCTCAACTCAGCCCCAGTGTCACGTCCTCCTGGAAGCCTCGGCCTCCCAAGTATCCTCCGTGAATCCCACAATAGTCTCTGCTTCCCCCTTCTTAACAGACTTCTACATTCTACCGAAATCCCTGTGCCCGCATCTGTCTCTCCCTCGAGGCTGGCAGCACCTCAAAGGCACAAAGAGGTCTGAACGGTATCTCCATCCCCAGCGCGCAGCTCAGGAACGGGCCTCCATGAGTGTGGAACAGAACTGAAAAATCCCAGAGGTAGACCCTGGGAGTCTCCCTCCCCCAGGTCCCCACTGATAAGAGCTGCCCGGCCCATCTCAGGTGACAAGGAACCTCGCTTCCATGAGCTCATGGAAGCCCAGGGAGGTCATGTGGGAAGGTCTTGCAATGAGGAAGCGGGGCAGGGGTCTTCGCAGTTCAGGCTAGCCTGGAGAGCACCCCAGGGGCCCATCTGACCGGGGACACACCCTCCCCTGTCCCCTGCCCCGACTTTTCCTTGCCTGACATCCACACATGGACAAGCACATAAGCTGGGTGAGGGAGGGGAGGTCAGCTGAGTGTGGGCACACCAAGTCCCAGAGACACTCACTCGGGACACAGGCACACACAGCATGCACTCACTACACACCCCAAAACTGAAGTATACAAGACAAACACAAACACCCCAGCACACACAAAACGGGGCAGTCCAGGGCTGGGGTCCGTGTGCCCCCAGCATGGAGAACAGGGCATGCACAGAGAGGCCTCAGTAACTATTTGCTGCACCAATTCAAAACCTCAGCACCACAGTCATCCCCTGCACATACACAGCACACATAAGCACAAACAGATGGTGTGACCCCACGAATACCAGCAATGCACATGCAAGATTAAATGCCAGACACACTCCACGAGCTCCCAGCCCCAGCTGGACTGTGGCTCACCGTTCACCAGGCCGCCGCTGCCTCCCTGCTCCACCAGGTTCTCATGCTGCAGACTTGACCGGGGCCGGGGCGTGGGGGGCGTCGGGGCTGTGCTCTCGGAGGCCTTCCTGGGAGCAGGTGTGGGGCGGCCGGCCGGGGGGTTGGCCAGCTCTTGTGGTTTGCCAGGAACACGGGGCTTGGTGGGGATCTGGGGCCGGGTTTCTGGGCTGGCCTTGGGCAGGTCCACCTCAGCCCCTGCAGCCACACTAGGGCTGGGGCCGCCTCCCTCCAGATCCTTGGCTTCTTCTGGAAGATGCTGCTGCTTTGGCTGCGGGGGGGGTCCGGGCCTGACCACCGACCGCCCACCTGGGCCCAGCCTAGCGCAGTGCTCTGCACACACAAAGGTGCCCTCCTCTGGCCCATTCTTGTACGCTCCGGGGAGCAGGGTGCTGGAGCACCGTCGACACCTGCCAAGGAGAAAGGGGTGGGGTGGGGAGGTCAACTTAACCAGGCAACCCAGTCCAGGGTGCTGGATACCCCTCCTGCCACAGCCAAGGCTCTCCCTCCCCTCCTCCCAACTACCAGCCTGGACCCTGTCTCAGTGCCCAGGACTTCCCATCGGAAAAGGAAAACAGTAAATGTCAGAATCACAGAACAATAAAACCCCGGGAAGTCAGCAACACAAATTGTGAAACACGACTTCAGTTTCTGCTGCAAGAGGAAGCAAAGGCTTCCCCCCGAACCTGGAGGTTCCCTCCACTGTGCGGGCCACCACTCATTAGTGGCTCAGGAAATCAGTTTAGTGGTTTTCAACCAACCAGGTTTTTTTGTTTTGTTTTTTACTGAAATAGAATAAAATAAATACATCAGAGTGTATCACACTTGTTTTATGAAACTCTAATTCCAGTTGTACATCTATTTATACAAGTTTTATTTCAGGGATGCAAGCACAGCTGGTCAGTGTCAAACATTTCTTACTGGGGGGGGTCACCACAAAAAGTTTCTAAAACGTTGCCCTGGTGGCCAGACGTGACTAGGCTGATGCAATGGTTCCCTTTCTCAAGAATTTTCCCCCTTGACACCTCAGTTCTGCAGTTAGGTCCCTGGGTTTCCAGATCCAGCCACCACACACACACACACGCACCCACAACTAAACCACAACTGAATACTCACTGTAACTCTCAGTCACCGGTTTCCCTCGAGTATTCAATTTGCTTTGTTGATGTTGTTTTTAATCACACGTAAAATGTTTCATACATTCTCTAATAAGCTACTTATATTTTCCCTGCCTCTTATTCCATTTGTTTTAAACCTGGCTTCCCCTGGGGACCACACACTGAAAGCAAGTTATTACTGAGATTCTTTTTTTAATGTTTCCTTTCTCCAATTCTGCTCCTTCATCACCATTAGGTACTTAGTCTCAAAGAGCTCTGGCCCCATTTCTCTCATTATGTGACTAGCATGACTTCTCCTCTCACTCGGCCTTAGTCTGTTCATCAGGAAAATGGGGATAAGCAAGATGCTTCAGCATGAAGAGCCTGGCAAGAGGTCGGGCACACGTGGTGCTGAATCCATGGATGCTCCCTGCTCCCAGGCTCCCCAGCCACTCACCGGAAGCAGTGCCGGTGGTACAGCTTGCCGTCAGCCAGGTAGCGCTGCACCAGGTGCACATGCTGCTGGCAGGCCGCGCACGTGCTGCTGGGCGTCCGATGGGCGCCTTGCTCCGACAGGCTGCCCGAGGAGCGCTCCTCGCCCTGCAGAGAAGGAGGTGGGCAGATTAGGGGCAGGGCAGGGTCACCAACCACCCTGTCCCAGAACACTCCCCTGGTTCCCCAGTCTAATGGGGGCCGTCCCCTCAAGGGTGCACGGTGCTGACTGACTCCATCAGAGTCCCAGAGGGGCAGAGGGTGGGAGGCTGTCACTGTTTTCTAGATGAGGTAACTGAAGCCCAGAAAGGGGGAAAGACTTGCTCAAGGTCACTGAGTCAGAGTGGAAACATAAAAATCCTGACTTCCAGTTTCTGGGGACTTCCCTGCCAGAAAGGCAGCTCCTGGATGTAGAATCCCTTCCCGTGAGCTGCTCCTGCCCCTCTCCCACCTGGTAGGTGGGCTTTCCCTGACAGGTGACTGTCCTCTTAGGCCCACCTTGTCTGCCTTCTCCTTCTCCCCAACTAGAGCCAAGGAGATTTAAATCCCAGCTTCTCAGCGTCTAAGCTCCGTGACCTTGAACAAGTTGCTTTCATCTCTAGGCCTTGGGTTCCCACCTGCCAAATAGAACCCTACCCCTGCTGTCTCCTGCACATCCTCACTGGGCTCCCACCCTGGGCCAGCTCCCTGTCCCTGAAGAGCTCCTCCAGCAAGGAGCAGATAGGAGCAGATGGGAGCAGCTGGGGAAAGCCCTTGAAACACAGTGAAGTGCAGTCCAGATGTGAAAGGCTGGTGTCACCCCCTAAGCATCTTGGAGCAGGGGACTGACAGTGTGGCCTCTACCTCCCAGCTAAGAGACTTTGGACAAATGAACAAACCTCTCTGAGCCTCAGTTTCCTCATTTGTACATCAGGACACATAATGCCAACCTCCCAGTATTGTTGAGAGGATTAAATAGAATCACACCAGGAAGTTAAAAGCTCTTTCTCACAGGCCTCAAGGGGAGTGTCTGCTGTGTTGTACATTTAAGTCCTGTTAGTCCCTTGAGGGAAAGTCAGTCCATGGATGCTCTGTGCCCCTTCCCAGGCCTGCGATCCCCTGCCCCTGCCCTGGCCTCTGAGACTCTGCTTCTGAAGCCAGTGGGAAGGGGCCGAGAATGTCCTCTCACACTGCAATGGCAGTCATACCCCCACCTCGCCCTCCCACCCCCAGCCTCTGCCTACCTGAGCCCTGTCTCCTGGTTCCGTCGGGGTGGGCCCTTCAGATGGTGGGGAGGACGATGCCAGGCCCTTTCTAGCGGGTGAGACACCAGCTACCAAAAGACAGGAAAGAGACTCAGGCATCTGGAAACCCTGGAGTCCCAGGAGGCCCAACCTGGCCTGAGATTTGAGCTCCACCGCCACCACTTGCAGGCAGGCCACCCGATGCAGTGGGAACAGGCTCCCACTTCACACAGGCCAGGGGACGCCTCCACCTCTGAGCTAAGCGCCAAGGGCAAGCCACCTAACCTCTCTGAGCCTCCGCAAAGTGGGACAGAGGCCCCCACCACACAGGGCAGCGTGAACAGCAAGGCATCAGGCCGGTCCCAGAACCAGCAGTGCCCAGTATGTGAACGGACGGGCAGCTTCCTTCCTGCCAGGCTAAGTGGGCCCAGAAAATACAGAACAGGACCATCTGGAGGTGTCTAACAGCCAGCTTTGCCTCCAGCGTTGGAACACCATGCTGTCTCCTCTGGTTGAGCAGCAGGTGGGATGAAAATGGTTTGTATTTAGGGGCCAAGTTGTACGAAAAGCACAAACTGTGCCTGTAGCAACAAGAATTCCCCGTAGGCCCGGGGGGTGCTCTCAGGGCACAGTGCAGGGAACTGGGCCACCAGGGCACCTGCACCCCCAGGGTGTCCGGTGAGGACCCGGGAACGGAGCGGGCACCACTGACAGTATTACTGAGGGTCCTCCCTGACCTACCCACCTGGCAGGTCCCCGGAAAGTGGCCTTCCAGAGAAGAGCTTAGTAAAGAAAGACTGGAGTTTGGCAACATGGAACCTTCCAGAAGGTAAGACTGAATTGTGATTCTAGGTGAGCAAGCTAAAACTCTAACCAATGGAATAAAAAAGTAATAATGCGGGGAGGGTATGGCTTAGTGGTAGAGCGCATGCTTAGCATGCACAAGGTCCTGGGTTCAATCCCCAGCACCTCCATTTAAACAAATAAATAAACCTAATTACCTCGCTCCCCTCAAAAAAGGGGCTTTAAAAAAAGTAATAATAATGGTAACCTTGAGTCTTAAATTAGGGCCAGACACAGGTTCACATTTCCTCATTTACTCCCATCAGCTCTGTGAGGTGGGCACTGTTGCTCTCACCAGGACAAGAGGTGACCATGTGGCCCACTCTCACCCAGACAGCAAAGGGCAGAGCCAAAATGCTGAGTCCACACTGCCTCTCACCAAAGACTCGGCAATGGAGAAATACTTTCATCTTGACTTTTGGTAAAATACACATCATGTTACTGGTTGTTATAACATTAATCCCTAGCATTATCTGGGGGAGGGAGTAGGAGATTATTTTAATTTTGAAATTTTTATGCTTTTTCTATGTTCCAAATTTTCTACAGTAAGCATGTTTTAGTAAGAAAATAATAATCCTGATTTCAAAGAATTACTTTTTTAAAGAGATGGGCTGAGACTGTCCGCACAGAGAGCAGAGGCAGGAGAAAGGACTGACATGGGACAGGGGACGGGCAAGGTGCCCACCACCCACACAACCTGTGGCAGCAGTGACACAGTGCAGGAGTCAGGACATCTGGATTCTGATTATGTTTTCCTGCTGTGTGACCTTGAGCTCCTTGCTTCCCCTCTCTGAACCCATTTCCTCTGTGTTCTCAGGTCTTGAAGGTCACTGTTGGGAACACAGTGCACAACAGCCCTACAGGATCACTTCCCCACCAGAGGAAAAACTCCAGGGAAGTGTCTGCAAACAGGAAGTGAGGCTGGGTGCCAGAGAGGTGAACTCCCAGGCGGCGGATGACCTTGCCATGCTCTGTCTCCTCTGATGTTATTTGCTGTTACATATTTGTTGTGTCTTCCGGACAAGGCTGTGAGCTCCAGGAGCAGTGATCTCGGTCAAAACTGTACCCCAAGGGCCCAGCACAGTGTTATTCTACTCAATAAATATTTCAGCAAGTAAATGAATGATATAGTGAATGAATGATGGGCTGCCTCCTGGCGCCTGTTTGTAGCTCAGAAAACAATAGGACATATCCCCAGCCCCGCCCCCAGGCCAGCCTCCCCAGAGGGTGCACCCCTCTCACCTTGACCGGGGCTTGCAAAGTGGTTGTAATACTGGGACACGTAGGTCATGATACTGAGGCAGTCGGGGACACTCATGGAGACCATGTCATTGGGGTCCAGGAGGGCAGGGATCCCCAGCTCCTTCTCAGCCACTTCAAAGGCCTGGGGTAGGAACAGGTATGAGAGTGAGGGAAGGTCTGGGGCAGAGGCAGGTAAGGGGTGGGGATGGGAGCAGGTCCAGGGGTTGGGGAAAGTTGGGGGGTGTGCAGAAGCAGCCACAGCAGGAAGAGGAAGAGGAGGCAGGGTCAGTGGGCCCCTCTCCGCTTAGACCCAGCTTCCCTCAGTAGGATGAGGGGGATCAGGGCAGGGGCAACTGTAGGCTCCCTCCAGCTCTGGCCTTACACTATGATCTAGAGAAGGGGAAGGCCTGTGCTCCAGACACAAGTGGGCCAGAGGGAAGCAGGCGGGCAGGGAGAGGAGCAACCAGGGCCCCAGTGCAGGGAAGCTCATCTGGGAGCTGGTCCACAAGCCCTGGCCTGCAAGATCTCCATCCTCCCACCCCACCCTCAACACACACAGCCTCCTGGGCTTCTGTCTGTCTGGGGGACTTACCAAACGGTTATTCTCGAAGACATTGTCCTTGGAAAGTGAGTCAAAATCTCTGCAAGAAGCAAAGGGGAGGAGGAGCACTGAGGAAGGCCGGGGCAGGGGTGTGGGGTGACCAATGGAGGTGACCTCATCCCAGCCAACCTAGGCCTCAGCAGGGTTGGGGGAAGGCTCTGTGGACTCAGGAGGAAACTGAGGCAACAAGCACATCTGACAGAGTTGGGGCTGCCAGGTAGGGCAGAGCATGAGCTCATGCCTCAGGAGGCCTCCAAGCAGAGGCTGGAAATCACTCAGAAGGGGCGGGGCTGAAGTCTGATCTTCAAGATTATTCCCCAGGAAGCCAAGTCCTGACTCAGTGGCAAAGACAAAACTAAGACCAGGACCAATGCTGGTAGCAGGGATATCCATGGATTGCTGACCCCATGCCGGGCACTGGGCTGAGCTCCTGTCTTAAATTTACTCTATTTTCAACTCTGCTTGGCAGGTATTTACCCCATTTTACAGACAGGGACACTGAGGCCCAGCGGGTGGTGGGGAGGCCACCTAGCCCTGGGAATCCACATTTCTGGTCCTTCCACTGCATATCACAAACCTGGAGAAGCCACACCAACTTGCCAAATCCCTAACCCAGCCTGAAAAGGAATGTTGTTTTAATGGGGCCAGGAATAGAACAAGTCTGAACTAGACTAGAAAGCTTATACTCTCCAGAGCTGCTGGCACTGAATGGCTGGCCCACCCTGCTGGGCCATTCCTGGGGGCACTGTCTCTGGGGGAGCAGTGAAGGGTTTCCCAGTTTCTAAGCTGGGACAGGTGAGAAGTGGTAGGGCCTCCTGGGGGACCCTGGCTTTATTTATCCCCCTCCCCACCTCCCCGCTCCGGCTGCTGGAGTGGCGAAACCAGCAGAGGAGGCCCGGCCATCTTGCTCAGCAGCCTCCTGGGTGCACCCGGCGGAAGCCGTGTCCTTCTATGGCTGAAAACTGCAGCCTGACTGCCCGAGTCGTGGGCCCAGAGGCCGGAGCAGGCAGCACCAGCCTCCAAAGTCTGGGTCCCAGGCACTTCTGCTCTTCCGGGCGAGGCTGTGGGGCCTTGGGCAAGTCAGCAGTCCTTGCCGGCCCTTATTTTCCCATCTGCAAACTGAGGAAAGCGCTCGTACCACCTTCCAGGCTGGTGGGGAGGACTGGTCGAGTCTGGGTTTGGTAGAGGCAAGCCTCACAGACACAAAAGAGCCTCTCCTGCCCTCCCGACCCCTAACTTCACCAGGCAGAGTCCACGGTACAGTGAACCCTAGACCAAGGCAGGAGACGGCAGCTTGCAAACCCCAGGAGGTGCTCCAAGGCTGGGTGGACTGAGGAGGGAGAGGGGGAGGGGACTGTGTATGAGTTCAGCCCCTGTTGTCACCTCTGGCTAGACGCTTCCTTCTCCCCTTAGCTGGGTCCCTGACTCCTCCCCTTGCTTTGCCACTGCCTAGAAGTGTGACTCTGAGCAAGCTACGTAACCTCTCTAAACCTCTGGGACACTGTGAAACCAGCTCAGCCTCCAACAAAAGCTTGTTCTGAGCACGAATGAGACAAAAGCAACTTGTCTGTGAGTTTATTTCAGTCTCCCCAGTAGTGTTCCTAGAAGGCTGGGGTCACATTTTGTTCGCCCTGTGAACCCAGCACCCTACAGTTCCCTGTACTTAGTAGGCACTCCATAAATGTTTACTGAATGAATAAATGCTGGAAACAATGTGAAAACTGTAAAGGTCCCCAAGATACTTCGATTTTTTTCCTCCGGCTTCTTCCCCCTCCCCTAGCTTCATCCTGAATCAACATCTGGACTTCGGGAACAGATATTTTCTGAGAGTCTTCAAAGGCCTGGGAAGTTCTATTTGGCTCTGGGGGAGATGAGGAATACAAAAATGAAACCCACATGGTCTCTGACCTCAAGGGAGCTTAAAGATGCCTGGACAGGGGAGGGAGAATGAACCGGCCCCCAGCTCCAGGGGCCTGAACCCCTTTCGAAGATGATTCTTACCCTCACACCTACGTCACCCCTATTTTCAGGGAGGTCCTCCCCTACCCATTGCTGAGGTCCTCTCTATGCCTTACGTAGGACCTGGGCCTCAGTTTTTCTCCTGTACAATGGGCTGGCAGCCCAGATGCTGGCCTGCCTGAACCTGATCCTGGATCTCTTTTCAGGAGGGAAGCTGGCCTCCACTCCACACCAACTCTAGCTACATCCCTCCCCTGCTTAAAACCCACATGACTCCCCATGACCCCATCCACCCCTCTTAGCCAGCAGGAGATCCTAAGCACTCCGGCCCAGCCACATCTGGCCCTCCCTGCCATGTGCTATGGACTCCAATAGCGCTGCCTATGTCTATGATCACTCAGGCGGCTCCCTCTGCCCAGAACAACCTTCCCTCGGCCCTGACCTGCCTCCTGCTATCTCCTATGGCTATGTGATGTCTGAGAGGCCTTCCCAGCCTGCCCATCTGATACAGCACTTCCCACATGGAATTATCAGCACTATTTATACCTCTGTTACCCCCAGAAGCTGTGGGAGACTGTGTGGGGTTTGTCTCTTGGTTGGTTGGTTGCTATTTTCATTACCACGTACAATGTCCAGCACAGAGTACCACTCTGCAGACACTTGGGGAATAAATGCAGGAATAAGACACTTTCATCCTCCCCTACTGCCTAATAACACTACTTATAATAATTAATGTCAACTGAATGTTCACGATCTCATTTTATCCCCACAACAATCCAGTGACGTGGGTCTTATTATCAACCCCACTTTACAGATGAGGAAACTGCTGCCTGGAGGGATCCAGTGACTTTCCCACGGCTGCACACTCAGCACATGGAGGAGCTGACCGCAAACCAAGCAGCCTGCACTTAGTGTTGGCAGGCTCAGGGCGGTCACGCAGCTTTAGCTTGACACCCAAGTCCTTTCACACACTGACCCTGACCCTGCCTCACCGCCTGCCTCCCAGCCAAAAGCAGAAGACCCCTCTGCTCTAAGGCATGGGTCCAATCTGGGTGCCCTTCTCCATCCTTCAAGCCCTGGCTCCTGAGCCCCTGACCTCGTGTCACATGCCTCAAAGCAGGCAGCAGCCCACCTACACCTTCAACTCATCTCATCCACTTCTATGTGCACATCCGCCAAAACCCTCTCCTCCAGGGCCCACTCCAGGACCTACCCCACCACCCGCAGACATTGTACCACATGGTACAAAGCAACTAAGTGCATCTACACCATCGAATCCTTGCCTTCCTTTCTTCCCTCCTTCATCAAAGCCTCCCAGGTGCTGTCCTTGGGGAGTGCAGGTCTGGAGGTGGAACAGACACACAAAGACTGCAGAATCTGCCAGGCTCACGGAGCCCTGTCCAGGGGACTGTACGCAAGACAGGCCAGGACCGTGACACTTATCCTCGATTTGCAGATGAGACAGGAAGTACAAGGAATTGTGGATGCCAGACAAACTTAAACTCAGTGTTTTATGAATGAATGAATGAGTGAATGAATGAATGAATGAATGTAAGAGGTTCCAGGGCCCAAGGAGAAAGTCGAGATAGAAACCTCAAGTCAACTGCTCTGGGGTCTGAATAAATTTTCCCATGGAACCTCACTGGGCAGCTGAGGCCATTTCACACCCTGGAGCAGCCCATGAGGGGTGTCAGTTGGATCCTAGGAGTCTTCACTCAAGTAGCCCTGCCCCACTGTGGTCAGCAGGGCTGTGGGGCACACACGTGGGGAGGCAGGTCTGGGTCCTAATGGAGTTGGAGGGGGTTACATCCATTCATCGGACCTCTGCTAACCACGGGTCTCCTCCTGTGCTAGTGCCCTGGAGACAAGATCCCATAGGGGAATCAGAGACGGATTCAGCCCAAGGGGGCCCCACAGAGGAAACAGGCCTCAGTGTCTCACGGGGAGGAGGCTGCTCGGCGCGCCTGTTTCAGAGTTTAGTATAAGAAAGGCCCAGAGTCCCCGAGAAGGGCTCGGTGCCCCTTGAGTCAAGGCCTCTGTGTTCCTTTGACGGAAATCAGTGCCCTGTGGGCGGGGCCAGGGCCAAGGCAGAGGGACCAGCACGGGGGGCTGGTTCAGTGTCCCAGTGGGCGGGGTCAGAGGCCAAGTGGGGGAGGGGAAGCCCTGGGTCGGAGGGTCTCAGTGTCCTGCGAGGCGTTGGGGGCCCGCCGGAGGGTCGCCGCCTCCGTCTCCGGGGGCGGCGCCAGCCACCGCC